GCATATAAATACATACAAATAATTTTTAATTGGGGCCGGAGACTAAAGAAAACAATAATTTAGAAAAAAATGTTTAATAAAATCTTAGATAATACATATGTATAACAAATTATATTATTATACAATTTTTCACATTTACTTGATTATCACACCATAATTTTAACATTGTTTCCATCTCAGGGATAATACCATGACGTTTACGAATGATGCTTGAATTTAAAGATTGAGCATTTTTTACAGCTTCGAGAATTTTTTCTTTACCTTTTATAATTGTCTGACAGTTTATTCCAGTAGATCAAACTTCTTTGCCAATTCACAGATTTTTATTTTTGTATCGAAGTCTTTAATAATGTTAACTTTACATTCCAAAGATAAAGTTTTTTTTTCTTGTTTGATGCAGAAGAATCAGTTCTACTTCGTTTAGATGACATAGTAGAGGCTCTCGAGTCTCCATAGATATAACAAACACAGAAATAAATAACACAAAATAAATTGTAGCTATATGTCGATTCCACGCGACACATTCGAACATGTAAGCTGAACAATAGTGTGGGGGAGTGAGTAATCAAGAGTTGTGTGGTGCTCAAACAAAAGACAAATCAACGAGATTTGAAAATCGCATAAGTCGCGGTATTATGTTTTTTAATTTTTTTTACTCTATGACAAGCATGGGCAATTCATTGATCACTATTGACTAGTCCACTGATTCCCAGAGTGGGTGCTACCATCCCTTGAGGGTGGTAGAAGACTGAATGGGGTGCTAGAAGGCAAGGTGTTGGAAGACAAAGACAAAGAGAACAAAAATTCATTTTGAAACAAACAAAAAGATGTAAGAAATACACACACTAATAAAAGGAGTGATAGTCCAGAATGTTTGGGAAACACTGCATCATTTTTTGTCGTGCAAAAGTAATAGTGTTTTAAACACGAAAAACTTTGGTAATTTCAGTAGGAATGTTAATTTTATGTTTTTCACAGAAACTGTTTAACTATTCTTATGGGTTGGTAATGCTATGCTTTATGAAATAATTTGTGCTCATTTTTGTTTCTGATATCTGAAAGAGCACATACATTATTTTCCTAAGGTGAAAAATAAACACTGCTAGTGTGAACCTATGACCAACTACCAGTTTTTTGTGGTTTTATCCATTCGGCCACTGGTGAGCATCAAACTTGATTTATCATCTTAGGTTATATTGAAGTTTTGGCTTTTTATAATAATTGATAAAACTTAATTTTCAACAGTAAAAATCATTAAAGACGAAAAACTTTTAAACATTCAAAAGAGAAAGAGGAGGAGAATTTTAAAGTACATATTATTAGTAAAATATATATATATATATATATGTAATTAATCTGGCAATTATATATTTGATTTAATATAACTTGAAAGATATTATAATTATTTCTATATATCAATTTATCTTGTATTTAATTATTATATAAACAGGTGCATTGTAATAAACAGTGCAGCTGCAAGATGTAATGTTTGTTTTTGTATATAAATATGGTATTTTATCTGAAATACAGTTGTAGTACGTTGATTTTTGATTGTTTTAATGTAATTTCAGCCGAACCTTCAGTGTATTTGTTAGAGCTTTAGTTTATTTAAAATAATGCATAAAAGGTATAATCTATTTTAAATCCAAATGAAATAGATTTTTAGATATAAGTAGGTAAATATTTCGAATAAAATAAAATAACTTACTGGAATTTAATTAAAATAATCAAACCACCTTAAATACGTTGCTGGAAATAGTAAGGTGGTTTGATTATTTTAAATATTTCGAATTTGTGTTTATATATATACATCAGGGATAGCCAAACTTTGTCATGATAGGAGCCATGTCATCTGTCTACATTATATATGGTTAAAGTGCTATACAGTAGATAGTACTGTTTCTTTACTATAGTAGTACTTTATGATAATGGAGTAAATTGACTGTTTACCTAATTGAACATTATTAATATATTCAAAGCTTTCAGTTGCCTGTTTAATGTTAAGTTGCAAGTTACCCTTACAATCTCTGTATATATTACACTATACAATAATCAGAAAACTTAAGAATATTATATATGTGTAAGTAGTATGTATCAAGTTTATAAAATAAATTCTATAAGTATATGGGAACTACAGTAAGGGTCAAGAAAATGTGGCTCACAAGCCACAGTTTCGCCACTGTGGACACACACACACCCACTGGGGTTTTGAATGGAATCTGTAAAATATAGGTTATTGAATTTCAAAATATTAATAAACTTGAAAGAAAATGTTTTATTACTATAAATAACAATAAATTTTATAAAGCTTCTTGTAATTTCTTGTAATGTATGTCTTTACAGATGTTAATAGAATTTTGCGAAGGAGGAGCATTAGACAGCATCATGTTAGATTTAGAAAAACCTCTTTCCGAACCTCAGATACGTTATCTATGCCATGAAATATGTGTCGCTTTAGATTTTTTGCATAAAAATAAAGTCATTCATAGAGACTTAAAAGCTGGAAATGTTCTGTTAACTTTAGATGGAGGAGTAAAATTAGGTAAGTAATGCTTGGTCTAAATACAATTTTCCAAAGAATGATATTCTTTAAAATGCAAATAATTATAAGTTTTTTGTTTGATAAACTGATGCCCTGTATCCTGCAGTATCAAATATTCAGCCAAAATTATTTTACGCTTTATCATCAATAAGTAATTTTATTCGTATATCTATTTTATATACCTATGTATAGTGGATCATGAGTGGAAAAAGTTTAAGAAGTTTAATTATTTTAATAATTAATTTAGAAGGTTCTGAAAGAAAAGAATCAGTTCAACGCTGGACTTAAACCTGCAACACCTGCTTACCATGCAGTTGCATTGCCAGTTACACTATCTGAACCTTCATCTGATCTGTAACTGAGTATGGTTATATTTAAATGAATAAATTCTGGAAGTGAGGATTGGATGAAGATTCAGATAGCATAGCCTCACAGTAAGTGGGGGTTGCAGGTTTGAGTCTCATTTTATGCAGATTATTTTCTTCTACAACCTCCTAAATTAATAAATTTAGCAAGAGATGGTGCCTAACACCTGCCTCTAGTGCCAAACTACTTAGCATTTAATTAATAACAGTAGTAGTAATATAGTCCAATATAATTTGGCAATCATTCGGCTTTAATATATAGTTATCGGGTTTGGCTGTTTATGTTTGGAATTGTTTTTTAAAAGAGAATTTTTTAACTATACAATAATTGTTTAAAATAGTTTCAAATGTATATAAAATTAATAACAACATATACAATGACTCGATAAACTTGTAGTACCAAATCTACTGAATTTTTTGTCAGGCCACTTAGTAATCAAATACAAACAGTTTGCTAGAGGTAGGTGGTCAATTTCTTTGTATGTGATTATTAAATCATCAAATATATCTTGATAAAAAATTCTGGCAGATTATTTAATACTACATAAAATTAATTTACAGTTATTTTATATTAAAAACATTTTCTGTAACAAAGACCAAATGTTTATACGTTAAGGTAGATCTGTAAGAACATTTTTAAACATGTATTTGTGATACAAAATTATTTATAAACACAAGTCTGTAGTAAATTTTTGTACTCTTGAATATGTTTTACATATAATTTGCAATACTTACAACAAGTAAATTGTTATTTAAGCAAGACAAATCTTATTTTGTTAATTAAAGCAATTTGTCTGCATTCTTTTGTGCGGTTCAAATATTTGAAATATTTCTTTTTTTTTTTCAATTCATTATTTTTATTTTGACTTCATTTAGAAATTTCATTGATGTTTACTTAATTTCTATAGATAATGTTTGTTACATACATTTTAACTTTGAAAACTAGAATTTAAGATAGGAGGAGCAATAATGAGATTTTGCTTCAGTCACAAGAAATAAAATATTCCAAAATGAATGTAATAAATTAACATTAAGGAAAATCATTCCCACTATTAAATTTAAAGAAATATTTTATTCAAATGACCTTAATGAATACAAGGAGCTTAGTGTTGTACATCTGTTCCATTTGCCACACATAAAATATAATTTAATTTTTTTTAATGTTATGGAAAATATATCCAAATATGATGTGCGTAATCATGTCTAAATGTATGGAAGAAATCTTAAACAGAATTTCTCCCGTTCTGACACATTAAAAATTTATAAATGACACATATTAAAATTGTAATTATACTCCAAATAAAAAAACCCAAATTTATTCAGATATTTTGGCGTATTTAATTATTATATAAACAGGTGCATTGTAATAAACAGTGCAGCTGCAAGATGTAATGTTTGTTTTTGTATATAAATATGGTATTTTATCTGAAATACAGTTGTAGTACGTTGATTTTTGATTGTTTTAATGTAATTTCAGCCGAACCTTCAGTGTATTTGTTAGAGCTTTAGTTTATTTAAAATAATGCATAAAAGGTATAATCTATTTTAAATCCAAATGAAATAGATTTTTAGATATAAGTAGGTAAATATTTCGAATAAAATAAAATAACTTACTGGAATTTAATTAAAATAATCAAACCACCTTAAATACGTTGCTGGAAATAGTAAGGTGGTTTGATTATTTTAAATATTTCGAATTTGTGTTTATATATATACATCAGGGATAGCCAAACTTTGTCATGATAGGAGCCATGTCATCTGTCTACATTATATATGGTTAAAGTGCTATACAGTAGATAGTACTGTTTCTTTACTATAGTAGTACTTTATGATAATGGAGTAAATTGACTGTTTACCTAATTGAACATTATTAATATATTCAAAGCTTTCAGTTGCCTGTTTAATGTTAAGTTGCAAGTTACCCTTACAATCTCTGTATATATTACACTATACAATAATCAGAAAACTTAAGAATATTATATATGTGTAAGTAGTATGTATCAAGTTTATAAAATAAATTCTATAAGTATATGGGAACTACAGTAAGGGTCAAGAAAACGTGGCTCACAAGCCACAGTTTCGCCACTGTGGACACACACACACCCACTGGGGTTTTGAATGGAATCTGTAAAATATAGGTTATTGAATTTCAAAATATTAATAAACTTGAAAGAAAATGTTTTATTACTATAAATAACAGAATAAATTTTATAAAGCTTCTTGTAATTTCTTGTAATGTATGTCTTTACAGATGTTAATAGAATTTTGCGAAGGAGGAGCATTAGACAGCATCATGTTAGATTTAGAAAAACCTCTTTCCGAACCTCAGATACGTTATCTATGCCATGAAATATGTGTCGCTTTAGATTTTTTGCATAAAAATAAAGTCATTCATAGAGACTTAAAAGCTGGAAATGTTCTGTTAACTTTAGATGGAGGAGTAAAATTAGGTAAGTAATGCTTGGTCTAAATACAATTTTCCAAAGAATGATATTCTTTAAAATGCAAATAATTATAAGTTTTTTGTTTGATAAACTGATGCCCTGTATCCTGCAGTATCAAATATTCAGCCAAAATTATTTTACGCTTTATCATCAATAAGTAATTTTATTCGTATATCTATTTTATATACCTATGTATAGTGGATCATGAGTGGAAAAAGTTTAAGAAGTTTAATTATTTTAATAATTAATTTAGAAGGTTCTGAAAGAAAAGAATCAGTTCAACGCTGGACTTAAACCTGCAACACCTGCTTACCATGCAGTTGCATTGCCAGTTACACTATCTGAACCTTCATCTGATCTGTAACTGAGTATGGTTATATTTAAATGAATAAATTCTGGAAGTGAGGATTGGATGAAGATTCAGATAGCATAGCCTCACAGTAAGTGGGGGTTGCAGGTTTGAGTCTCATTTTATGCAGATTATTTTCTTCTACAACCTCCTAAATTAATAAATTTAGCAAGAGATGGTGCCTAACACCTGCCTCTAGTGCCAAANTCCAAATATGATGTGCGTAATCATGTCTAAATGTATGGAAGAAATCTTAAACAGAATTTCTCCCGTTCTGACACATTAAAAATTTATAAATGACACATATTAAAATCGTAATTATACTCCAAATAAAAAAACCCAAATTTATTCAGATATTTTGGCCCATAATTGTATTATTTTTAAATTATTATCGTAAAGAGTTTAAAAATAATTTTTATATTTGTTTTAAAAGACATGGTTTATAATGTAATAATTATTTTCTTGCTTTGCATTTTATGTTGACAGAATTTGATTTGTGTGTTAAATAATATATAAATTAAATTAAAATCACAATTTCTGTAGAATTTTGTAGCAATTTTTATATAATTTTAATTCTGCGAATGGATTAATTAAACTGTTGGTTTTGTTAAAGTAAGTGTATTTTCTGATGAAAACAAGAGTAAATTGATTTCAAGTTTTGAAAAGAAACACTGAAAAAGTCATTTATGCTTACATTCTGTATAGAACTTTACAAATATTATAGCTTTATTTCATTCCTTACAGAACAGAAACAGTAAAATTTACTTTATTCACAAATAGAATAATTTATAAGCATAACTCAAAATATTTATTATTTTAGAAATTAAAATTATTTTTTTTTTAATTGAATAAATGTTATGTATATTTGTATTCTTTTAAATGTAGCTGACTTTGGAGTGTCTGCAAAAAACAAATCAACAATGCAAAAGAGAGATTCCTTCATTGGTACTCCATATTGGTAAGTTGAGAGAATTGTTAAAAATATTAAGTTTTTTACTTTTTAAATGAGAAGTAATTATAAATATTTTATTAAATATATCCACATACACCATAAACTTCCGGCAACCAACGTCTTTAATAGCACATGCTACTGTTTTCACTGATTTTAAATGACTGTTATCAGGAGAATCAAAACTACAGAATAGAATGTCCTATGCAGAATGTATAAGAAGGAATGCAAATTTTACAAATTTAAATGTAAGAATAAAAACTTATATTAAGATTGTATAAACCAGTCACAAACAATCGTGGCTCCCAGGTGGTTGGCATGCAGCCTGTGAGGTCAATACAGGACTTCCAGGCTTTGACAACACAATTTCACTTCACTTCTTTTCTGCCTTCTGTCATTATACAACCTTAATTAAGTTGATATTTGTGATAAAGGACATTCAAACAAAACTTGACTAATGAAGAGATGAGAGTAAACTATATATTATTAGTTTGCATATCATTAGCATATATTATTTTCATATGTAGTGTAGTAGTGGTTATAACATGTTGGTACTCAGCAGGCTTAAATCCTGCAACTTCTAAGAAAAAATATAGGCAGTCTGCTGTAAGCATACCAAATCCACTTATGGCTTGATCCATAAAGGTTGTTTGTCACTCATGTAGACTATTACAATGTGTGGATATAATTAACATAATCACAGTAATTTAAAATAATAACATTCATCTTGGAAGATCCTATATTAATTCCTGACCCTTTTAAGTAAGTTTGATGACTTTTATTACAAGTACATCCATCTCATTAGTTTGCAAATATGCTTCTGTCTTTAATAAATCATAATAAATAGTAAAATATGTATATCAAGGAATCTGTTTTATGATTTATCATCAGTAATTGATTTTATCTGTATTTTATTTTTTATCTACCTATTTTATCTACCTATAAACTGGGGGTTGTGTAAAATTTTCTTGGGTAAAAGGGGATTGCGAATGAAAAAGTTCAAGAAGCCATACACCATATGCTTCGACAGTTTCGATTCTTTCTTTCAGGCTACTCAGCCATTGTAAAAATCCAAATCCAACAAAATGCATATTCTCCATTTACTTTTTCAGTAATTATAATTTTTATTCTTATGAAAAAATGTGTATTTATTTCAAGTCTTAAAGTAAATGCTGTAGCATATCACTCAAACATTACACAGAACCTTGTACAGCAGAAAAAATGGTTTATTAAACCAGAAAACTAACATTTTTCGGTCATATTTAGTGACATTCATTGGGTTTCTGTTCCAAAAATTCGATTTCAGAACAAGGTTGTGTGTAGATATAAACTGAAATTATTCTTAATCTAACTCTTATTAGATTATTAATAATTTAATTTAACAGAAAAATATAATATTGATACAGAATAAAAAATGAGTTTAAATTTCTTTATATTGCATTTGAAGAAAATGCAAGTTCATTTTTTTTTCAAATGCAATATTAAAGTAATTTATTACTATGTTTTAGATTGAAATTAGTTCAGTTAATGAATAAATTTTACAAGCTAATGCAATATTGTATGAAAATATTGCTGTGTAAACAAATAATCAACATGATTACTTTATCAAAATTTTCTGCTAAATTAAATTAAGCTTAAATGTGCAGAATATATCTTTCCAATAAAATAAGTTAATAGAATAAATGTTTATTAAGTAATTAAATTCACCTACTTATTCTTTTATTTATTTTATGTTAATTTTTCTTAAGATAAATTTTAACAAGATATTAAATTCCAGATTTCTATTTGTATTTAAACATTTTAAAAGTAAAATTTGTATTAAGTTTAAGCAATTGATTAAGTAATATTTTAATGATTATTTTTCAGGATGGCACCCGAAGTAGTTCTTTGTGAAACTTTTCGTGATAATCCTTATGATTATAAAGCTGACATCTGGAGTCTAGGTATAACACTGATAGAATTAGCTCAGATGGAGCCGCCTAATCATGAGCTAAGTCCTATGAGAGTATTGCTTAAAATCCAGAAGTCAGATCCTCCGACTCTCGATCAACCATCAAAATGGTATGTCAAAGTATTGAAATCTATATTTTTTACTTACATTTAACAGAGTTTTGAATCCTTTTTGGCTCATTTTACATCTTATGAATACAACATTTTGTTTTTTAACATGAAACAGACGAAATTTGTAATTTAACATGAAACAGACGAAAAATTGAATATTAGCAAGAAATTCCAAAAAGTTACATTTTCAGCTTTGTTAAAATTAAAATCCTGATGATGTAGAAGACATAAAGTCAACTATAATAAATTCCAGCAAACATTTAATGAAAATTATGGAACACCTATGCATTGTAACAATCAAATGTCCAATTCAACAGGTTTAAGATTTATGGTCCGAAGCGAGTCCATTAATGAGGATGAAAACATACATTAAACATTTGCTTGAATGTATTACAGTTGTCTTTGTATCTTCTAGATAAAATGTTAAGTTAGGAAAAAACCCTAAAATACATAAATGACTTTAATAATTTTTCATAAGTACAGAGTTTTTCAAAAGAATGCTATCATTTTAAATTATTGTAATGTACATTAAAACAATGGGAAACTGTCCAAGTTCCACAATTTCCCATTACAGTTTATCAATGCGGGCACTTCACGTTACATGGCACACGGCACACATCCAACTGATACTCAAATTCTTCTTACACTCGTTACGGTGTATCCTTATTACTCTTCCCAAAGAAGCCACAATTCTACAGCTCCTGCAGATTACACAATTAAAAAAACTTACACCTTTAAAATCCAGCAACAAATTTAATAAAATAAGAATATTTTTGACCAGTTCCACCAACCTTCTTCAATTACAATAGAATGGAAAACTAGAAGAACATGAATACAAAAATTTAAAAAACATAAGTACAATTGTAAAAGAACAAGAATTTGAATACAAGGATGTTAGTTTAAAGAAATAAATAAATAACAGCAATTGCAGGTGAAATTAATAAAATAAAAAGTAAAAATAAACAAATAAATATCCTTTAATAAAATTAGATTTCATTAATGGATCACCATGCAACCCTTCTTAGAGATGGATTTCTTATCATTCCTTAGAATTTTGAAGATCATTGGGTTGTGTGGGTTGTGTCGATATACTACCGCAATATTATTAGCTCTGGCTGCTTTCTTATGTATCCTTCTTAGAGATGGGATATAATTTAAGACAACCCTTTGTTTCTGGTTTTACAACCCTTTGTTTCTGGTTTTTGGAGTCACCATTTTTATTTGTCATTTCTAGTAGTAGACAGGATATTTGAATACAGATGGGAGATAAAACTTGGATGGTTATTTCTATCGATTGATGTATGTCTCATACTTCTCAGATAATAACTAACATAATTACAGTAATTTAAAATAGTAGCATTTGTTTTGGAAAATAATATATTTATCCTCACATAATGGTAGTCAATAAAGAAATTGTATACAGAACTTCATTTTTCATTTAACTGTTACAAATTAACTTTCCGTAATTTAAAGGTTATATTAGCACTTAAAAATACACTTTTTGCAATTTTTTGCTTTTATGTCAGCTAATTAATAAGTTTATTATAATTTAAATGATTAGACTAATGAATTTAGAAGCAATTAATCACAATCCTTATAGTTCAAAAGTAACCTGGATTCTAGTCTTTAACTAGTTTTGATATCCAATAAGAGGAGGCTTAATGGCATATTCAAAGTCATATCAAGTGTAAATATACTGGATGTTAACATTAGAGCTGGTGAAACATCACAGTAAGATACCAATGAACATTACTGACAGAAACATGTTTTAGTTGTCTTTTTGAGGAAAAACATGACTACAATTGGAGTTATAAAAAATGATTGACATCAGCTACTGAAGTAGTTGACAAATAAAATTTTCTTTGGATCAGAATTTTTTAATTTTAACTAAAATGTCCATTGGATAATAGAAAACAAGTTGAGGCATCAACAGAACTTATAACTAATCTGGATTAATAAAAAGTATAGCAATAACAATGGCTATTGGCACGGAAAGGGTTATTAAGTTTCTTAGCACTTACATGCAGTTTGATGTTTGAATACACAATGTAAGTCTCCCATTGCTATTGGATATCAAAACTTCAATATTACCAAAAGTAGCAAAGACTAGGCCCTGATTAATCACACTTTAGTTGATTATATTATATGTTATACATAATTCATATATATTTTCATATTTATATTGCAGGTCAAAAGCATTTAATGAATTTCTTTCATTGTGTCTTACCAAAGATCCACAGCAAAGGCCTAATGCAGATGAATTATTAAAAGTAAGCAATGAAAAATTATAATTAAAGATTCAATATATATGCAGTTGCTACAATTACCTTTCATAAACTTATTTATATTTTCAAATATAATTTGTTTTATGGACAATATTACTATACAGATATGCACTGCTTAATGACGGGATGTTTTGAGAGATACATTGTTAAGAAACTTTGTTGTCAAGTAAACATCATATAGCTAAGTTAGACAGATCTATATAGTATAGTCTACTATTCATATAGGCTATATAAGTTGTAACACAATGATAAATAATAGAATGTGCACAGTAAAATACAGTATTTCATGTTTTGATGTTTAAAACTAATTTAATTTTACTGTATTTCATAAATTTTTTGGATACACTTTACTTTACTGGCTGTTTACTAGCTAGGTTTGTTTACGCATTAATGCATTGTGCACGACTTCATGCTTTTATGGTAGCTACAAATTTTCAGCTTCATTATAGTCTTATGGCACCTCTGTTGTATATCAGTCCATTGTTAAATAGTGCATGCCTGTGTAGTTTTGTATTTTGTTTCAAAACAGTTTTAAGAATTAATTGTAATTGTAGTGATTTTATTAATTTCAACTTATAATTTCTTTCTAGCATCCTTTTATTACATACGCTTCAGATAAAAAGCCTTTAAAAGACTTAATTAGTGAATATAAAGCAGAAGTAGTTATAGAAGTTACTGAAGATGAAGAAGAATCACAGGATGTGAGAATATTTTTTATTACTTAAACTTTAATAATATCAGTACAGAAAATTTGCTGTATTAAAATTATACAACAAATTCTAAAACTAATTTTTTAAAATAATTTTAATATTTATTTATTGACCATGAGTTTATTAGCATCTACTTTGAATTATGTTAAGTTACATAGGGTTATGTTTGCATTATTAAAACAATAATTTTTTAAAATTTATAATGCGTAATTTTATACTGTGTTTTCGTTTTAGGATATTACAGCAGTAGTTCTATTTTACATGTAGATATATCTCAGTAAAACTTTCATTTTAATTTCCAAAGATGGATTTACTACCTAAAAACATTTAAATTATAAAAATTATTAACTTTCATAAACATGCTAGAAATAAATAAAATTTTTATTGACATTTGATTTTCATTACAGAATCCCAAAATCAATTTTTATTGTGTATGTTTTCACATATAACTTTATAAATCTGGAATGTAGAGTAAAAATATTTTTCTCTTACATGAAAATATCTAATTATTTATTTCTACATATATTACTATCCATTATGTTGTTCATTAATTTTTATTCATATAGGTAACTCTAGGTATTTGTGGGGATTAGGTTCTTTGGAAATCTCACAAATATCAAATAGAGTTAGGTTCCCATGGATCAAACCAATATCACTGAGCTAGTGCCGTCTCGGGAATATTTAAACTTTTTACGGATGATTCAATAAGTAAATAATTTTATTTGTATGTTTAATTATATTAAAAACATCAGTGTTACATTTGAAGATAGTTACAACAGTTTGGAAAAATTGAATTAATGTTACTTGACAGACTTTTTTTTATTCATGCCCTTCAAGATATTTGAACCAGGCTGCTTCCAAAGCTTGTTTAAACTTGAGATTGCACTCAGGAGTATGGTCTGGTTCTTGCAATTCCTTGCATAACCTATTAATAGTGCTGTATATTTTTGAGAGCTCGGAAGCTGTCATTGGCAGCTTTAGCATTTTTTCTGATCACCATCATCCTCTTCACTGTCATGTAAATTTTCTGTAATCATCATGGATTCTGTCATTGTCTGGTATAGTATGTTCTCAACATTTTCCATTTACACTTCTCACCAACTATCTGCTTTGCCAGTTTTTACATTATTATATAAGATTATTATTATTGTTGTATGGAACTATGTATATGCTGTAATTTGCATAATTGTGATATAAACTTTGTCATGTACGATTTGACAAGGCATTGTTGCTGTAATGCAGTGACTCAGTTTGGTAGTACTTTAATTAGGTCGAAAAATATAAAAATTGAAAATAACAGAGTACAGACATATTTGTGTGAATATGTATTTTTGTGTTAACGAATATGTAAATATTTTGGGAACAGTCACATAGTTGCTTACAAATTTTCAATCATGAATAGGTAAAAATGCAAATACCAAGAGTTATCTGTAGTTTTGTTGTAAATTCTTTAGAATATGTAAAAAAAAAATTACTCGTTTCTCTTCTAATTTTGTAGAATTGATGAAATTATCTGTAGTGAATATTTTAATAATTTTATTTACACAGTTCTGTATGCTTTTGAAATATATTTCTTATTAAATCATTACATACTTCTATTTATCTATAATAATTTGTTTGAAGAGAATGTTTAAAGTTAACTGTGATTTCTTTCTTTTGTAATTTTTTATGCTGGACATGCCAGCTCAGGCTGAAGAGATTGGTATGTAACATGGTATACAATGGTCTTAACAAAACTAATTTAAGCTTTCATTAGATGAAAAATTGTATATTAATATCTAAGTTTATTTTGTATAAAGTTAATTTATTTTTCTTTTCAATAATAATAAAACATACTACAAATTTCTTTAATTTAGGAAAATAGTAGAAATAGTTTATGTCGAACTTCTCATCTAAGTCTGGAGAGTGAAATTGGCGGCGACAACATATCTAATTTGAGTGAAAATATCGAAGAACTTTCAGGGCCTAAAAAGACAAATGAAGAAGGTTGGTAAAGTCCTTTTGTTTCTCTTTACTTTATGTAAAATTGACAAATAAATATATTTTTTAACATTTTTTTTTCTGAAATATCTGTAATTGAGTCTTAACGAGAACTAATTTCATAAATTAGAGGCCAAATTTCATTACAGAATAAATATTTGTTTTGTTAAAACATTTAAATTAAAAATGATCAATATTTCTGTAGAATTTTGCAACTTATATTTTTATTTATAGTTTAATAAAATAATTATTCAAAAAAATAATTTAAATTAATTAATTAATCAATCCAAAAACATTCAAATTAAAATAATTAAAGTGATATTTTAAAATATCTTAGTTCCAGTGAGCGAACCTTCTACTCCTTTCGAAAGTGACAAACCTGTTTTCGATTCTTTAAAAGAAAGTCCAACAACAGATAAATTGCCAGACGAAACGGCAATGGCTTTCGAAGAAACAAACAAAGACAAAAAGTGAGTATTTAATGGTTTTGATTTTTACAGTGTTAAATTTTGATGTAGAAACAAAACAAAATTTAATAAAAATTTCTCTGATTGATAAACGATAAACAATTGAAATGCATTGGATGAGATAAATTTTGTCAAAATCACTGCCGGAGATTAAAGTGTTGGCTCACCATTCTGGGAAATCGAGATTTAGTTTGGGCAGTCGAAAAATCCATTCCATTGTGGATATGTTAGGCACTATCCCTGACTTGATTGCCCCATTGTGGACCTGTCCAAACCCAAAATAATCATGGTAAAAAAGGACCTCTTAGGGCAGAAAGAGTATGTTTTTTATGATGAAAGCATTGTAAAGTTAATGTTGAATTTTCATTTACATATAAATAAACTAATAACACATTAAGCCCATTCAAAAACAGAATGTTATACAAGTATATTTTATATGCATCAAAATTATTATACTCTTTTACTTTAGCCCCATTTATCATCTCAAAAATTAAATTTGAGTGTGTTTAAAATAAATCTGTAACTGTTTTTAATCTGACAAACAAAATTATATTCATTACTAGTCAATAGAAGAATTTGTTTGATTAGAGGTAAACTTTGAACTTGTACTTTGACTTTCATGAAAATAAGAATCAAATAAAATTTAAATACACAAAATAGCACTGTACTTTTTAAAATAAAATATTGTATAATGTAAAAAATATTAATATTCTTATTAAATAGAATATGTTTTGGAAGTTTTATGCATTATCATCTTGATCTTAGGATCATTTAGCAACTATACAGGGTGTGTAGTGAAGTCATTATATACTGACATGTAAGCTATGCACAACATATGAATGAACACAGTAATGAATGCAGTACTAAGACTTTGAAAAATTATGAATAGCGATATGAATGAACACATGAGAAATACACATTTTATTGTCTGTGTTTGATGTGCACATTATCAATTCATGCTTTCTAATCATGCTATTCGTGTATGTAGGGTGTTATTTCCTGCTAAATTTGTCATGCTCTAGAACGTTGTAATTGACTTTTGTCCTGTATCATGTCTTGTTTTCCAGATAGGAGCATAAACTTTTGAATTTTACCATTCAGGACACTGCAAGTGTTTTCATCTTGTATCACGTAACTGTAGTATCTGTGTTCATCAATTACACAAGTGTATAAGGACTTTACTTCATATCCTGTATATTTTTCTGATGAATATATTGTCTTTATTATTAAATATTTTTTATTAGGCAAGAAGATAGCTCCATTCATCCCATCAAGGATGAAGAAAATTTAGAAGAAAAAGTTATATCGACCGAGGAGAAAGAAACTCAAGTAGAACAAAGTTCTGAAAATGAAAAGTCACACAAATCTCAAGTTAAAAGTGATAAATTAACAGACAGTCATGAAAATTTACCTCAGAATGTGGAGGAATGTACAGAAATTACAGAAACTTCAAAATTAGAAGACACGAAGAATTTTGAGATAGAACAGGCGCAGTCTGATATAATAGATGAAGCATCGGAATTTAAGTCTGAAGATATTAATGTAAAATGTGAAGACTTAATAACTGAAAATAGCCATTCAGAAAATTCAGAGAATGTTTCTGAAGAACAGTTCATAGAAAAATCATTGATAAAGGACAATGTTGAAAGCTTAGAGGATGTTCACAAAGAAGAAAAAGATCCAGTTTTAATTTCCGGTGAGTGTACTTTTTATATTTGGAATGGTAATACAGTCAACTTGCATTAATATGAATCTCTAGGGAAACAGTAGTTAGATCTTGCTAACAATTTTCACGGTCAAGGTTGTATAATTTAGGGAGTTAAGGCTTAATAGGCAATCAAAAACTATTTAGTAAATTAATTCAAAATATTATAATTTAAAGTCAAATTAATGTTCTAAATGATTTTTAAATCAGAGAAAATGAGGAGGAGATGGTATTCATCCTTGAAGAGTGAAGCTGTTTAATAGAGCGATAAAACAAACCAAAGCTATAAGAAATCTGTTTCTTTTATCTGTTGAAGATTGTTTGAAAATATAAAATATTTTCTGGGGCTACTCCGGATATGCAAACTAGCATGTTTGCATGAGACCACATCCATTTAATAGTTAAATTAGTTAACAGTACATTCCTTCAAAAACTTTTCATAATATTATTGTTTTAGTATATTAATTAAATAAGAATAGAACAAATACATTAACTATTTTCCAGCTTCTTCAATTAAACTAGTTATTTTATTATTCTGTTAAACAAAAATCCTAGTCTCAGTTTATACAGTGTTATATATTATATTGATTCTGTTGGATGAAAAATATAAAAGAAATGAATTATAATTTAACAAAATATTATTGCTTTATTATACAGATATTTTACAAAAGAATACATGAAATTCATTATGAAAGACAAACATTTAAAAGTGCACAACAATATCAATACAAAATAGAAAATATTTCTTTTTTTGTTAGCAACGTTCATTCATTTTTTTTTATATTGTAATCTTTTATTACATGTTCATACCTTCAAATAATAAGAAGTCTAGAAACAGGGCTTCACAACAGTGTATACATCGCACGTTGCACTGCAGATAATTGCTATACTAAACAAGTCAAGTAGAAAATTCTTAAACATATTAACAGCTTGTTCTGTAGTTATGCTTTGATCTAGATCCAGTATATAAACCAAACAGGATACACTCCACCACCACAATAATAATAATAACACAAAAGGAAGTTACATTATTTGATTGAGATGATGTATTTGTAAATAAAATTAACAAAAGAGAAAAATCAGTAAATTTGAAGTTAAATATTAATGAAAATTCACTCTCTCAAATATAGTTAATTATTATAAAAATAAGTTTCTAAAATTCTCTTTTTTTTAATTATAAAAAAAAAATATCAAAATGTTAATAGTTTCAGAAATTATTTTATGTAGAATTGAGTGATTATTACAGTAGAACTCTGATTAACCAAGTATCCAATTATCCGAACCCCCTCTTGCCCTCCTTTCTCTCTTTCACTGACGTCACACTGCAATGCTCTTACATCATGCAACTGCATGATCAGTGATGCCTAATTACTGTCCAAATGATCAATAGGATGCTACTCACACTTTGATGAATAAATAAATACAGTATTATGTATAGTACTGTGAAACCTGTAATTTCATTCTTTACATGTTCATATATATCTAAATTACCTGCAAAATGAACCAATTCAGATAATTGGCATTCTATGTACTACTATTTTTGACAAAAATAAAGTCATAAATTACATTTGAGCTAGCATAAGTACTGAAAAATAGTTGATCATTTGTAAGAAATAAATTATAATGCATCATCATATGCATGAATGTCATTCTGAATATTACAAAATTTAGATTAAGTTATCTATACTAATATAATAAAGAGGTAATGTTTGTATGTTAGTTTGTATGCAGCAGGTAATCTCCAAAACTACTCATCCGATTTCAAAAATTCTTTCACCAATATTTAGAATGGAACCTCAGGGTGGACATAGGCTGTCGAATACATGTCGAAATTACCCTTTTGGGGGGGAGAGAAACAGGATTAAGGCTTACTGTGAAAAACTTCGCTTCTATTATACTATTTTATATGCGGGTTTTTGCGTTTTTGATTGCGTTTTAATAGGGTACATCAACAGAATGTACAGTAAGAAGGGATTTTTCGATATTCCCCCGCGGGGGAGAGGGACAGGATTAAGGCTTACTGTGAAAAACTTCGCTTCTATTATACTATTTTAGATGCGGGTTTTTGCGTTTTTGATTGTGTTTTAATAGGGTACGTCAACAGAATGTACAGTAAGAAGGGATTTTTCGACATTCCCCCGCGGGGGAGAGGGACAGGATTAAGGCTTACTGTGAAAAACTTGGCTTCTATTATACTATTTTAGATGCGGGTTTTTGCATTTTTGATTGCGTTTTAATAGAGTACGTCAACAGAATGTACAGTAAGAAGGGATTTTTCGATATTCCCCCGCGGGGGAGAGGGACAGGATTAAGGCTTACTGTGAAAAACTTGGCTTCTATTATACTATTTTAGATGCGGGTTTTTGCATTTTTGATTGCGTTTTAATAGGGTACATCAAGAGAATGTACACTAAAAAGAAATTTTTCGAAAAATTTTTTCCTAGGGGGGAAGTGTTATACATTTATAATAGATACATTTTGAGCCACAACAAGGCGTGGCAGGGTCTGCTAGTTTGTTTACAATTTTGGTTAAACAAATAATAAAACTGACTTTTAGTATAATACAGTATAACTCTTTACATTAAATTGTGCTTAATATAATTTGTAGGATCTAGAATATCTTTATATTTGCTTTAATGGTGATTTGCTGTTCAGAGTGGTGTTGGATTACTGCATGTTTTGTGTTTTCACCAAACTTGATAAGTTACATACAATCTGAACACTGCAAACATTACATCTTGTGCCAGCTGCCAACAGACTTGTGAGTAACTGAAGAACAACAACTCCTAAACAACTGACATTGCTACATAAATGCTGCTGTGCAGAGATGGTGAGGATTGAAACTCGCAAACATGAGGTAATTCTTTCAAGTATAATGCTGGAAGATGTTTTCACCAGTTTATTCAAGAATTGTAGTGTAAACACACATTAGGTACAGAAAAGTGCAAGTAAAAGCATTCAACCTGACACAAACAAGGTACTGTGGCAAAATTAAAAATTTTCTGGATCCTAAGGTCGACTGTACTCCCAACATTTAGCAATGTGTAGGGTCTTTAGCACATTACCCATTAAAGCAAATTCCAGTTTGGTTTCTTTTCAGAGGCAATTACTAGCATTTTTAATGTTTTTATTAACCATTTTTGTTATTTTTATTTATATAACTCTACTATCTTATTCTATAATAATTAAGTGTAGGTGATAATTAGAATGACTGAATGTTTTAGCAATAGCTAAGGTAAACAAAATTTAACAATTTTTATGTTTGTATCATACAAATTTTAGAGTCAAATGACGAAAAATGTGATACAGGAGTTATTCAGCCTTCCATTAATGATGTAAATGATATTGAAAACAAAGAAACAGTGGAGGAAGACGAAACGGAAAATTCTAGCAAAGAAGATAAGGGCAGTATTGCTATTTCCGAAAATGACATTAATTGCTTTAGTGAGAAGGAAGTGGAAGAGAGAAGGCATCATGATAAAGTGAATGATGATCAAGATGAAATCGATGATGCTCTTAGTTCTTTGTTTCAAGCATTTGAAGAGCAAGATAAGTAAGTTGCCAATATTTACTTCACTTTTATTTTTTTATATTAACATAAATGTTTAATAGATAAGAAAATAGATGATTGTTTGGATTATTTATTTTTTATTCCATGCAAAATAGTACCGATTAATTGGCACATTTAGATATTCAGAAAATACAATTAGTGTTTCAACAAGTCTCTAAAGACTACATCAGTGGTAGTCAAAGCATGCCTGCAAGATATTGCTAAACCTTGCAATAATATGTAAGGTATAATCTCCCATATCCAAACTAATATGGGCAAGAGTGAACCAAATATTAGAAAAAAGCCAGATAAGAGAGTGTGAGAATCTTTAAATGAGGCTATAACATATATCCCTACTTTATGTATAAAATAATGTTTACTTCGACTTTAAAAATTACTGATTTGTTTTTTCATTCTTGATTTGTTGATCAGAAGCTACTCATACCAATATCTCATTATTGCGTCAGTGGTGTTTGATGCATTTTGTTCTTCTACAAACTTCAAGGCAACCGCAATAAAGAAAAATGTAACAATGTACTGTACACACTGCAGTATGAAAACGTAAGATTTGGAATTTGTACAATATTTTCCAATGTTTTTGGTTGCCTCTGATCAGTCTGTATACGGCAGAGTCTATTGTATAAGTTTTCTCTTAACAATGTCGATTAAGATAACAAAGCCATAGGCAGTATAACCTCCAAATGAAGTTGCACACTTGACATTATACCTAATTAGTTCCTTTATCGATACCATCCAATATCTAGGATAAAAAGCATTCTGTAATTATTACAGAACATTCTTTGTGCTAAATATTAAGTAGTATCATTACAAAGTAGCACACCCCTACATTACTTTTGATATACATCTTCATTTATCTTTAAAAATATGTACACATTTGCATTAGGTGAAGATTGACTTGTGTTAACATTATTTCTGATGCACGTGTGTATAAAGTTAATTTTATATAGTTAAGTATACTACTATAGAATATATTTTTTATATTAATAATTTCTTTTCAGAATTTGTCCCATTAACGAAAAGCTGCCTGAAGATTTGGAACCACGTAGTACAGAAATATTTATAGAAAAACAAGAAACTGTTTTAGAATCTCCTTCTATAGAAAATACTGAATTTGTACAGCCTGAAAATGAAAACATTATTTCTGATGATTCAAAATCTGAAACTGTTACAGAAAATAATGATATTAATCAAATTAGTTCGTCGGAAACTGCAGAGGCAAAAGCCGAAAGTAACAAAGATGCTGATGAAGACGTAGACGAGGTTTATTCAGAGTGTTTAGAAGTAGTATCAGAATCCAATATTAATAATAATAATAATAATGTTACTGAAAATGCAAATATTTCCAAAGAAACCCAGATTTCGGTTAGAAAAGATGTAACCACTGAAAGTGAAACTGTTGAAATGTTGAACAAACCAAGTGAAATTTTAGTATGTGAGGAGAAAAGTGCATTTATAGAAGAATCAAAAATTATAGATAGTGATAAAAAGTTACCTGTTGTTGAAGATGAGAAAACTGTAAAAAGTAATGATACTGATAATGATAATTCATCTATTAGTGAAACTCAAGTTATATTAAGGAATAAGACAAAGGTATTGCAAAGTAATTTTTTTCCATTTATCAAAGTTGTCGGTTATAAATAATAATATATGTTTAATAATATAAATTTTTAAGGAACTGGGCCCAGATAAATCTGAGAAGAAGACTCCAAATGGTGTGGGAAACAGAGGAATAACTAAACCAAAGACTTTGAAAAGGACAAGAAAATTTGTTATCGATGGAGTAGTTGTAACGACCACTACTAGTAAAGTTATTTATGGCGATGAAGATAAATTAGTAAAAGATGCTCACTTTTTGAGGTCTGTATAATTATTATAATGGTAGATTTGTCACTGATTTTCTAGTGCCTCTTTTGATCTGGACAGAATTATATTTGTCCTGCAATTTTCAGATTTGTTCAGTGAATGAACAAAGATATCAATATAGTTGTGCAATTTTTAGCTCATTTTACTTGCATTTAACCTTAGATGTGGCTGTAAAGGATGCAAATACATTGATATCAAACATGAACACTAGTTTACATTGAATATATGCTTAACTAGCTTATTATGTCAGCTTTGAGCTTTGCCCGGGTTTATAAAGTGCCCTCACAGTAATTATTACACCCAGTGTTATTAATCATAAATTTCAAAAATATATGTGGTAAAATCCATTTTAAGAATATTATCAGAATGCCTTTAACTATGCAGGAAGTATGCTCTTGTAAATAGCAAATTTACAGAAAATTATTAGAATTAGTTTGCTTTCTTTGGTTACAGCAATGCAAAACGTGGACAATGCCTCCCTGGAGGAATTTTATAGGAAACCGGCCAATATTTAGGTGTTACTAACTTGAAGAAAACCCTGAAAATGCTACCTGGTTAGCCCATTGACAATGTGTGAACCTGTGGCCAACCCAGTGTAACAGTTTCGACTCCATGCAGGCGAGTGCTACGTGTTACTCATCAAAGTAATGACATAGCGTGTCTACTTTGTGCAATATCATTATCTCAGTAATTAAGTTTTTTAAAATTTTTTTCCTATGAATTATATTTAGTTTACTATGTTTTGCCAATAGATGACAATACATGTAAATCCAGCAAATCCAATGTAGACAAAAATTAATTGATGTATACAGATCCAATATGTATTTTGGGGTGGTATGTATGATGATATCTAAGTTAGTAGTAGTATGTTAACAGAACTCCCAAGTTTTGAAACAATTGGTTGAACAGCCTAGGAATACATAGTGAACAAACAAACATTTTCATTTATAGATACAGATTTCTAAACTGCTAAAAACTTAAAAGTGGTTCTCAAAGACCATTTAAATTGAATCACAGACCACCTATGCTCCCCACTTTATCATTGTCTAACATTATAAGAATTGTATGTCAAAATATTTTTTCTAGTCTGTAACCTGGCATAAGAGGTGTGTGATACATGAAAAGGTTTTTATCTTTATCTAAACACCATAAAAACTTTGAAAAAGTGATTAGGTTGGTCTGATCCATCACACAACCATAGACTACTAGTTGTCCTTAGACATACTTTGAGAACCATGGAAGTACAGTTACATAATCAGTTGTCCAGCAAAATCATTAATTTTACAAAGCTTTGAAGCCAGATGTTCCAGAAAATCTGTGACCTTTTGACCTTTATAAGAATTGTCTTTATGTAACTCATTTATTACTTTTAACAAATTTAAACTAAATTAAATTTTTTTTTTTTTATTAAAGGAAGCAAGAATTACGAGAGCTTAAAATGTTACAAAAGCAGGAAACAAAACAATATCAAGATCTTCTCGCTAAAGGTCAATATGCAAAAGAACAACAAGAAAAACGATTTGAACAAGAAATGTCTGTAAGAAGTGAATTTATAATTTAGGAAAAATGAAAATGTTAATGTATTTTATATTAAATACGAATTTTTACAGACATTGACGAGAAGCTACGACAATGATTTAGAAATTCTAAATCGGCAGCAAAAGCAGCAAGTAGAAAGAGCGGAACAGCAGCAAGAAATTGATTTGAAATTAGCCTCGAAAAGAATTAGGAGTGAACAGGTAAGAAATTCTGGATGGATCAAAAACATCCGGGAATTTTTTTGCAGACGGTCTGTCCAGATACGTTGGACACTGTCTCACAGCACCCTGCCACCCCATTGTGGGCTTGCTAAAATAAGGTCCTCTTAGTGCCCACAGGACAGAGTTAAAAAAAAAGTATTTTAATGACTATTTCCTTTTTTTCTTCCTTTTTGGTCCCTACATACTCCTTTAAAATCATAGAATTAACTATTATTAATTCTGTGAAAAATAAACTTATACCTTCTGCTGCATCAGTAATGATTTTGTGGACAAGTGTGAGATCCCACTCACTTTGTACAGGATGGTTTTAGTAAATAATTTTAGGAGACTGAGAGATCATGAAATCTCCGTCTAAGTCAAGATTCCTGACACCAGTTAGGAAAGAAAAGAAAAATTGCATACTAACTCACAATATTTTGAAAATTATATTGATCCAAGTGGTTTATGAATCCAGGAGGGATTTGAAATATTTCACAGATAAGAAAATAGAACTAGACCAGAAACACTTTTATCATATATAAACATATATTATTGAATTTAAATAAATAAGAACTTTCAAAAATGCAAATATAAACACAACACAAATGTTAAACAATCTCTAAAATATCAAGGGTCTTAGCTAAGAAAAATTTATATATTTATTCAATATTTTACTGACATATCAAATTTATCCAACATCAAAGAAAGAGAGTTTACAGGTTTGAGATAATGTAATACCTTATTTCTCTTCTGAGTCATTGACAGGAAAACTCCTTTTCATTCAGACAACTTTCTTGGAAGTTATGTTTCCAATTTCAGTTTTCTGGACATTCTTGTGGACCCTATATGTAGGTTATTGTCTGACCAATCATTTGGGGCTATTCAAGTCACCTGAGGAGAGAAGCAACAAGGAACTTCCTTGTAGAGTTGATATCAAAATCAGCATACCTCCTTACAAACTTCCTCAAAATCAAAAGAAAGTTTGTTTGTGACTAACACAAATGTTAAATAGAAAATTTTGTTAATATTCCAATAAATGAAATAATTTGTTCTCACTTTGTAAATGCACTATAAATAAAACTTCTCTTAGTTGTATTTATTGTTAAAGCCAACTACTGCTGTATGTTATCAGACTAAATAACAGCTATAGTATTGAATAATTTGTTATCACTACTAGGTGCTTATACAAACACTTGGCAATTCTGTCATCAACTTTTATTCAGGAAATTTTTATTTGCTGAGGTGCATTTCAGGCTCAAGCCCCTCTTCCATCAGCATTACTTCCCGGGATATACCATAGCATGACAATTGAAAATACATCTTATTTTAATTCAGTTTGGTGTATGGAGAATATCCTTTATTCACAAAAAGTTTAAATTGAATTAAAATGTGATGTATTTTCAATTGTTGTGCTACGGTACATCCCAGGAAGTAATGCCAATGGAAGAGGGGCTTGAGCCCAAAATGTGTCTCAGAAAATAAAATATTTCCGAATAAAAGTTGATGACAGAATTGCCAAGTGTCTGTATAAGCACCTAGTAGTGATAACAAATTATTCAAATAAAAGAAGACACAGTTTCAGATTTATTACAGCTATAATATTAATAAATTACCAAACAATTTGATATTAGAGGGAGGTGTTAGGTGCCATCTCTTAATAAATTTAATAATTAACTTATTTAATTAAAATTATAGATTAAACTAGAAGAAAAGAATCGCCCAGAGTGAAACTCGAACCTGCAACTGCTGTTTACTGCGTGGATGCATTGCCAATTATGCTACCCGGATCTCCAGTCTGATCCCATCTTTCAGCTCCGGGCAGATACTTTTCTTCCAATTTAATTAAAATTATAATTATTAAATTTATTAGTAATCTGGTATCAAATTGTTTAGTAATTTATTAATATTATGGCTGTTATATAGCCCAATGACATACAGCAATGGTTAGCTTTAGTAATACAGTAGTCTCGAAAACTCGGCACTCGATAAGTCGGCCACACCCTGGCAGGGCAAAAAAATCCTTAGTTAATTAATTTTCATTATAGACAGCTTTATGCCTCAAAGTATTTTTCTGAGGTCTGTCTTATCAGGTAAATTACTGTACACAGTGTATTCATTAATTTTCATTTTCATGTAGTAAAGGATCTATGCCTTCATAAAGGACGTACTTTTCCTTTGTTTAAGGGTATTTGGGCAGTTTATTCTCTGTTATATTCTCAAGTAAACAATACATACAAGTACAGTACAGTATTTTCTGAGGAAACACTCATACTTATTTTTTTAACCCCATTCCCGATAACCCGGCATTTTCACAAACTCGTCCACCCTTCGGTCCACATTAGGCCGAGTTTTCGCGACTCTACTGTATAATGTATTGGGTTTTAATAGAGTTATTTATTTGTATTTATTGTTCTGAAATTTCAGAAAATACTTCATTTCATAAACTTTTTGGACACACCTCTTTATGTACTTTACACAACTGACTGCACTGTAGCAGCTATGAACTTTTTAGCTCCATTATAATCTTAGGAGACCTCCATCATATGTGTAGTCTGTTGTTAAGTCCTACCTATGTTATACAATAGCCTCTAATCCAATGATTCCCAAACTTTTTTGAGCCATCATCTCCTTGGTTCCATAAACTTATAACCAACATCCCCAACCCATTTTCACTTGTGTGACAAATCTTGGAAAAATTTGTAGAAGAACTTTTCTATGAACCTCATACTTTGTTCTGCACTCTGGAAACCATTAAACACAATGTACAGTAAGGACACAATGTTTCTTCCTATCTGTTTTAATAGAGGAAAGGGAAAAGTTTGTCAGTGACAACAATCCTCACTGTGGTCACTGTTAGATCTGTATCCTGCTGCCCACTTGCTTTTTATCTCCTCCCTACATGTACTCACTGTCCACAGGAACCACTTGTGTAATCTTTATAGGATCATGAAATCATACATTGTTAGGTTAATAATGAAAACTAAGTGGATTTAAAAGTTGTGTAATAAAATAAATTGTTGGCACCAAGCAGTGCAAAAAACTAATCAGTAGAATGAATTTATATTTGGATAAATATGACACAATATAATAGAGCTTCACTGTAGTCCACACAGTGAGAGTAGACATGAGTCTGTCTGAGCAGGAAGGGTCTATGTCAGATGAAAGGGAGTGAAGGAGATATGTGAGAGTTGACACATGGATCATGTTAATAAAATTTGTAAAAAAAAAAAAAAACGTTTTAAAATGTAAAAAACAAAACAGCAAAAAGAGATCAGATCCATTTCTCCTTCTGTCCCTTTCATCTGATATAGACTCTTCCAGCTTGGCCAACTCATATCTGCTCTTTTGCTGTGTGGACTATAATCCAAATGAATTGTGGCCCAAACCTGTTTGGATTATCTAAAATTGTTTTTATGTTAATCTGGGGTTTCTCAAATGTATTCTACTCACAACAAATTTTGATTCTACAAGATATAGTTGGGTAAGCCCTTTGTATTACATGATGACGACTTATAACAATTAATTTTTGACCCGAACAAACTCTGTTTTCAATTTCTTTTTGTAAGTGGCTTTATAGAAACTATACACAAAATTAGCATCCTTTTTCTATTCTGATAAAAAATAAAAATAATCTGAATCTGTCTCGTGTCTTCCACCATACACAGTTGGTACAAATTTTGTTGACTCCCCAAGTGAGGTCCTATTATATGCCAATTGAAACTTAAAATTAAGATCTTCTGTTATAAAGGCACTGAAAACATCTTATATACTTTTCCAACAATTTATTTTTAATAAAACTAATGTTTTTTTGCCTGATTAATAAGCACCATCAGGTTTTTGAACAGAGATTTTATTTTTGGAATGATATTAAATTATATTTTTTTTTACAAAAAAATAATCTGACATGCTATGATGATGCTATGTTTTTTGTAGTATGTTACATATTGTAGTGTATTATTGATAGATACAATTAAATAAATTTTGTTTACATTAAATAATTTAGACAAAAATTAATTGTATGTTTTCATTGGTATTTTAAAACTTTTGAATGTATATTATTATTATTATAGGAAAGAGATCTAAAACAGTTTAAAGAAAGTTTAAAGAATGAATTAAAATTATTAAAACAAGAAATGGAATTGTTACCAAAAGACAAGAGAAAAGAAATTTTCCGCCTTCGAAAAGAGAAAATGGACTTGGAACATGCCGAAAAGGTCGGTAAATAAATATTTTTATTCTTTTAGTATTAAAATAGAATTTCTCCTTTAATTGAACACTTTTTGAGCTCTCAGCTTTTTGATGGTCTGTCCCTGATACATCAGGCCCCATTCCTCACTACCCAGTCACCTCCACAATGTGTATAGAAAGGCCTCTTAAAGTCTATAGGGTGGGAAGAGTCAAAATAAAATACATATATACGTATTTTATTATATAAGTATATATATATACGTATATAATAATATATATATATATTTTATTAATTGTGCATGTGTCATAGCCATGTGCTGAAATTTGCCATTTCAACAGGTGGCTATTTCATTTGAAGTGCTAGCAAATCTTATAATAGACATTTGTTTCAAAATTACGAGTCCCCTCAGTGGCAATTCTTACATACATTAAGTTTTATAAAACTGACTTTTTATTCAAGTCAGTTGAAACAATTGTATTTATACTTCTGGATCCAAATTTTTCATTAATTCTTCTTTTACATGCTGTACATGTTTTGCTCCATCCTTAGTACTTGATCATCCCATTATGAGCATGATTAAAAAGATCTTTCATTTTCATCAACTTCCAGTGCCTTCAGAATGAAGAAATGTATTTTTTTTACTTTTTTTGTATTTTTTTTTTCAGCTGTTATATATACATAACAAGGGAAAACATTTGGCATTTTGAGACATGAGACATGAGACATAAACCCGAAAAAAATGGAAACAAAATTCCATGTACATGCCTATTTGATCTCAGGATGGGGCAAAGATTAATTAAGAATTGAATTTGGCATGGTAATTTGCATATAAGGAGCATTGATGCTATTAAATTTTGGTGGTTAAAAGTTTGGCAGGTGGGGAGATAGTGGGTGACACATTTCATATCTTGAGGGGGATTGGACGTAATGAAGATTTTACTCATTAGCATTTACAATTTTTTTATAAAACTCATCCCTACCCTCAGAATTAAAGTTTTTTGTCATTTTATAATAATTAATAATATAAAAGTTATTTTTAAATAAAATCTCACAATAGCCAGGAAAATTACATAACTTCTTGCTGGATTTTATCAGATGGAATGGCAGTTTAAGCTGTAAATTGTTGAAATATTTTATCTTATATATTAATCCAGATCTTTCTTCAAATTGCCAGTTATCTTAAGTAAGGATTATATACACTACAGTCGACCCCCCTATAACGTGCATTCCTATAACGGAAATTCCTATAACGTAGTGAAAAAATTGCAGCAACATTCGTTTAAAGGAGCTCCTAAAACGTTGTCACCGACTCGTTTCGCGACAAGATTGATAGAATCTGGACCAATAGTGGATGAGCAGCCGAACTACTTTCCTCCGACCCTGCGCCACGCTACGGAGCGGCTAAATTGAGTTTGCTATCGTCTGTTTAGTATTATATATAAATTATATATAAATTAGGTACTGTACATATAATTATATATTAATTATATATAAATTAGGTACTGTATATATAATTATATATTAACTTAATTTATTGTAACTTTATTATAATTATATATATGCTTTCTGCCGCCTGGCAACACGCTACGGAGATTTTAGGCTAGTAAGTTGAGTTTATTATCGTCTGTACAGTATGTAAATTAGGTACCGTAAGTCTAATACAGCACTAATTTTATACATTTCTTGTGAAAGAAACACTTCTTATTCAACGGCCATAAAAATTATTTATATTAATGATGTCTCCAAAGGTCAAGTTATTTTTCTGCGAAAAATTCGTTATCAGAAATCGCGGCCGTCGTTTCGTGTGCTGTTCCGCGACGAAAACAAGCTTTGAGCAACGGTGTAGTCAAACAGTACACACTCAGTAAGTAATCCTGTAATTTTTTGTTTATAGCATAGTTTATACAGATTATTCCCAAAAAATTATACGTGTTTTGGAAATGTTGAGTGGAATTAGTCTAGAATCGGTTAATTTTATAGAAGAAAACCTTCAAACAGTCTTAGTCCGTAAACTTCCCACCTATCGGGCTGCGATTGGCTCATGTATTTAATCATTCCTACAACGTAAAATTCGATTAACGTGGAACGTATCTAAGTGTTATAGGGGGGTCTACTGTACACTATCCGGAACCTGTAACCGATGCATAACACATATATACTAAATATCGCTGTTGACATCACTATACGCATTATGCACCGGTTACAGGTTCCGGATAGTGTAGTATGCATTTCACCCCAGTGCTGAGAGTGGAATAATTTCTGTATGTAAGAATTATAACTTGAATTATCAAAAGTTTTAGGATTTTTAAGATATTCAGATTTTTATCTATTTTTGCACATATCAGCAATATAGAAAATTTATTTACATATAAAAACACTATATTTTTATGCACATAATGGGTAAATTCCAGTTCAATAAATTCATCAAATGGCGCATTGATGAACCATGATATAATAGCGAGGTTAAGGTCAAAGTTTTAAACACAAAAACGTGTACGTTGGACGTTCAGTGCCGCTTTCCTGTAAGCCTAGAAGTTTGACAATGGTGTTTGGATAGTTGGTGGAACCATGCTCGACATTCCAAACATCATTGTCAAACTTCTAGGCTTATAGGAAAGCGACGCTGAACATCCGACGTACGTGTTTTTGCGTTTAAAACTATGGCCTCGCTATTAAAATGTATTCCAATTTTCACTGGTGAGAATGCAAAGATCAATGCATATTTCACACATCTGACAAAGCAATATGGCTCCCTCTATGGTTAACATATTAACAAAGCAAGTTTAAATGCTATCTACTTCTGCCATCTTGTTAGGTCACTAGATATTCAATAAAAGTTTACTAAACTGTTTGCTGGTGCATCGGTTGTGCTTGAGACCAATGCATAGTGGAGTGTACCCAATGATTTAATTAGTAAATACTGCAGTTGTTTTTGTATGTTACAAAAGTTATTTATAGAAAATGAAATTAATAAATTGGTTTTTGGTTTATAAGTATCTATTTAATTGAAAATAATATTATTTATTTTGAACAGGAAAGATTATTTATAGAAAATTTGAATGAAAAGCACGAACAGTCGATGAAGCGTCTGAGCGACAGTCACTGTGAAAAAATTGCACTTTTGGAAAGACAGTTTTTACAACAAAAACAGCAATTATTGAGAGGTATTATATTAATAATATTTTTTTGATTGACATTTAATCTCAATTTCTGCTAAATATGGTCATCTTTATTTCATACTTTTATGCTAAAGTCTGTTTAAATGATTCTCTCCTGTTATCAGCAATCCGAGCATCATAAATAAGCATGTATTTGTTTTTGAGATATTCTGCAGGAGAAGAAATTGTTTATGTTTGGAATATTTTTATTTATAAGCTTCTTTTTGTAGTTTGCTTCCTCAATCTATCTATAGCAGTTTTTTATCCAAATAAGTAAAATTCTGTCTCAGTTTACTCTATAAATAGTTTAGTTAATAATGATAAAAGAATTGTACACCAATTATTATGGTATGAATAATTATATATGCTATTATATGGGTATGCCCAACTTAACAATGTTTGTCCCATAAGATTATAATAGAGTAGGTACAGTAGGCTACAAATTTTTTGACTCCAAGAATGCTAAAAGTACTCTTACAGACCATACTTAACTGCTTAACAAACTTTCTTGGAATGTATACACATTGTTTAGTAGTACATACATGTGTATTATGTTTACATTAGTACATGATAATGTACTAATTATCTTATACCACATATTAGTGTCTTTATTGTTATATTTTGACTAATTATAAACTAATACTTATATAATTTTTTATAATTTAAGGTCGTGAAGCGGCTCTCTGGGAACTAGAAGAGCATCACCTCCATGAAAAGCATCAATTAGCAAAAAGACAACTAAAAGATATTTTCTTTCTTCAGAGACACCAAATGTTAATTAGACATGAAAAAGTATTAAACTAATATTACATAAATTGATATATTTAATTTTGACCCATTAAGAGAAACAAAATTATTTTTCATTGCTTTGTAGGAATTAGAGCACATAAAGAGAATGAATGCTCGCAAGGAGGAGGAATTGCTAAAGTGGCAGGCAGTCGAGAGGCGCCAACTCCCGAAACGGATTCGTTCAGAGATGAAGACACGCGAATTGATGTTTAAGGAAAGTCTACGAATAAGCATGGCGAATATAGCCGAGTCTCCCGAGGCAGAGAGAGACATGTTAAAAAAGGTACAAAATATAGAAATTTAACCTTGATCAAATCAGATAAAAAAATTTAATTGTGTGCTTATTTGACAGTTTCAAGAAGGAGAAAAGAAACGCTACAAAGCAGAACAGCAGCGACACGATATGAAATACAAGCGACAATTAGATGATCTCAGAATAAATTCAGAATCAACAATTAAGGAATTAGAACAGTTACAGGTTAAAAAATATATATAATTTATTCTTCGGTTGTCATAAATTTGTTTATTCCAAATGATTACGTTAAAAAATTTATTTTATTTTCAATTAACATATAGAATGAGAAAAGAAAAATGTTAATGGAACACGAAACTATGAAACTGAAACAGTTGGATGATGAACATACCACCGAACTTCAAGATTGGAGGATTAAACTGAAGCCTAGAAAACAAGTAAGTGTTTCTTTTTTAATTAATTTAATTAACAAAACAGTACAATAAGATTTTAATGCATTTTTTATAATATAATCAAGATGGGTTGATGCTAATAAGCGCAGAGCCCAAACAGTTAGGAGTTGAAAGTTGAAATTTGGTACACAGTTAGGATACATCACAAGAATATCCACTAAGAAGGGATTTTTCAAAATTCCCCCCACAAAGAAGAGGGATAGGATTAAGGATTCTACTGTACTATTTTATTTACATGTGGGAAATCAAATATATTTTTAGACCCATCTAAAAATTCTCTAATTAGTCTCAGAAGAGGGTGAACCTAATTCTTGCACCCAGTGAAAATGGCTATAATCTAATAATCTTAATCTTTGCCCGAGCAATGCCAGGCTCATTTGTTAGTTTAATATTTTCCTACTTGCCGACATGTGTTAAGGAAAGAGGAGAGGATAAATAGTTATGAAAGTATATAAAATTTAGTATTTGGATAGTAGTCAAAAATATTTTTGATTTATTTAGAAATTTCAGCATTTTCAGCAGGCTTCAGAGTTCTAGAGTTCAAACCAAGTACCAGGCCTGGACTTATATTTTGCTTCCCATTAACACTTATATATAATTATTACTCATTGTTGTTTATATAAGTAAAAATCTGCAGTATTATTTATATATTTCAACATAATTAAACAAAAGTAGAATACACTTCTTACAAGCTGACTATCAGTGTGTGCCAGACAATAGGCTTCAATGAAGGTTGCTATCAGGAGCTACACCACATTGAACAGGCATGTTGTCTTTTTTTTCTGTCTCAGTGTAACTCTGTATTGCCCTGTTTACATGTCTACACATCATGGGATCAGTCACTGTTCTAAATTAGTATATTTAGATTTTTGAAGTTGGCACATTTTGTGGGTTTCTTAGGAGTTTTCATCCTAAAAATAACACCCAAAACATAAAATAATGATCGGACTTTGACTCCTTACACCCCGCTCTTAAAAAAAAGAAATAATTTCATTTCTAAATTACGAAAATTTAAGGATACTTTATATTTTTGCAGGAAGTGTAGGTCCGTTGATCATGACAAATTCATGTTGTAATATTGTACCATTTAATCTAAGATTGGCTAGCAATATGCCTTTCATCTTGTAGTATCTGCAGGAAAACATGTGCTTGTCCTGATGTTAAATTGGCCTTTATGACCAAGTTAACATCAGGACATGGGCAGTATGTCATTCCTGGGGAATTTCTTAGAATTTGGTGTCACATATCTAAACTTAAGCACCGGTGTCAGTTCTGGCATTAGTCACTAGGTCATCAATAAATATGGTTAGTTCTGGTAAGTTTAAAACAAAAGTTTCCACACACCTGGTCAAATATAGGTATATAATAATATATTTTTCATGCTGGATATTGGTTACAGAGTGTACATTTTTTGTCTGGTAAGTTTGTTTTAGTTTTAATAAATCCTCCCATTTGGGACTTATAATTTTTATTTCAAAGAATCTGTTTTAGTGGAGAAACTAGAATTTAAACTTATCTTTGCCCCATGTAGGTTAGAAGTTTCCGGAAAGGTTTTGCTTCCAGTTTGCTTGTTTGCAGAGCAGTTTCTTGAATAATGCTTAATAGTTCCACAAGTATAGCATCATACAAGAAATCTTGTTATACAGTAATACCTCGGTTTTCGTCGTCATGCCCATGTGACCTCGCTGCTAATTTTGCAAAAACAAAGAGCGACCCATGTGTTTCCTGCTCAGTTGGCATCGTTTTTCTTCGTCTCAGTGCTGTATTGTGAGCATTACACCACGTGTCTAGCCAATTCCATTGCTTTTCTTTCCTTTTAGCTCCATCATGGGACCAAAGAAAGTTTTCACAGCCAGCAGCTCTTCAAATGCCATGTTAAATGTTCATGTATTGTGGAGTGTCTAGAACATATTAATTTGATTTACATTGATTCATATGGAAATACTTGCCTCAGTTTTCAGAGGTCTTGGAGTTTGTGTGCACTTGGGTATGGTTTGTCTCTAAGCATCAGTTTTCTTCGAAATTCATTCAAATTTAGAGGCATTTGAGCCATTATACAGTGGATGATTTCTTCATCCCTGGCAAGGGGTTTCTACTTATGGTAAAGCTGAACAGTGTCCCAAATGTACTGTTTGATGCCAGATGCACCATCATATGTTTGTCTGAATAATTCTTTAAGCAGATGGGTAAATAGTTGCCAGCTATTACCTACTCTTTTCCTTCCATCATTCTGCCACCATTTGGCAGGTGGACCTTCTAATAAGAAAGTGGCTATATGGGACCCAATGGTTCCCTCATACACAACTCTAGGTTGTCCCTGCTCCGCCAAATGGCACTACAGAGTAAGATAGAGACTATGTCTGAATCATAAGAAGTGGTCAGACACCCCGCTACAACTAGGTGTCTTGGACTCTTTTATGCTGAACCTGGGGGAAGAAGCCAGGTTCTGACTGAAATCAGGACATATGTTTTGGTGCGGTTTGTCCTGCACATAGGTCTCTTACTAACAATAAGTTACGTTATGTGTTGTCATTTAAGACATCGGGGTTGCAACCTTGACATGTCCAAGCAGCTGAACGTCCACTCGGGACTTCACCTAAGAAAAACGGTCAGTGCGACTAGTGTCCCACTGACCATTTTTCTTAGAGGTTTTCTTAAGACCCCATCACAGCATAACACTTGGGCACATAGATCGAAAAGACCTATTACAATTACCATCAAATCCTTTAGTCTCAATAGGCTTCCCTTACTTGCTCGGGTGGCTGGGACCAGTCGACATTGTCAACTGTCCTGCGGAAATCCTCAGTAAGAGGGGAATCAAGTACATGTGGGTGTTCTCATGTAGACACGAGAACACCCACAGGAGTAGAAACCATCTCCTTGTCCAAACTTGGACTTGAAGTGGGGGAACCTCCCTTGATCGGTCAACAGTTGGGTCACTAACCAATCACAACTTACTGGAGTTCGGCCAACCTTGGGCACGAAGGTGTAGGTCGACCTACCTACTGTACTTTGAGTCCAGCTCTCCTGCCAGTTTGTCATCGATCACTGCAGTAGAGCACCTTTTATGTAGGAGGCCAAGGGTTCGGCCGTCCTGGTTACAAATGGGCCCTGTGCCACTCACTGCCTTGGATTCCGATATGACCTTGGACCCATTGTAGGTCAACTCACCGTTCATGCCTAGCCCTCAGTATCCTACCTCTGATCTCCAATACTGTACAGTCTCGATGGTACCCATCACTCGAGGCCTGAAACAACAACTGGCTGTCGGAGTAAACCATGATCGGCTCAGAGCCTGGGTGTCGTAGGATCCACTGGGACGCCTCGTCCAGGACCACCAGTTCTGCCTGAAGCATGGAAGCCTCCCCCGCATTCAGTCTGACTGACCATTCATACACTTGAACTCCATCAGAAAAGACAGAACGCAGCATCTACTAGGCTGCCGTCCTTCGAGCCATCAGTGTATATCTCAACACCGCTGTTTGTTGGTTCACCAACATCCCAATCAAGTCCAATACTTTATGTGGGATGGACCCTCAGTATGTCTGCCTGACATGTGAGTTTTGTGGTTGGGCACCTCTGATTACAGTGCCTTGTCTCAATACCCTCTACAGTGGCTCTGTAAAAGGCCTCCTCCTGGCTGACTACCAGGGGCAGAGGAAGCAACCCAGTGAGCACCAGGGCTGCCTCTGTGCACAGTTCTGTACACAGTTCTGTACACATAAGCTACCTGCAAAGCAGCGTGTCTTTGGATAGTAAGCAGGGTCCTGCTCTGGTTAACATTGGTAGACTCCTTCCATCAGATACCACAGGCATAGCAGATCACACGCTCCAAAGCCATCTGGTAGATGGACCGGAGCACGCTACCACTTAAGCCATAGTCCTGTCTAGCAAGTCTCGATAGTGCTGCTATCACAAGGTTTGTTCTGGCTCGAACATACCTTAGATGTGGTGTCCAGCATAGTGTGTGGTCAATGATAACACCGAGGTACTTTAACTCATTTACCCTGCAGATGGGGTATCCCTGATTTTGTATATTGGCCATTGTGCCAATACTCCCGCTCGGGCCACCATTAGGACCTCTGATTTCTCAGGGCTGAAAGATAGTTTGTGCAACTCTCCCCCAGCAAATGAGTTGTTCTATGGCTTCATTGCCACGGACTTCCATGTCACGTCTACTCAAACCTGCAACTACCAGCAACAGGTCGTCCATGTCTGCAAGGACATTCCAAAGGAGGGGCCCTATGCATGACCCCTGGGAACAACCCCTCTGCAGTTTCCTGACAAAGCAATACTCAACCATGCGAAAAGAGAGTGGTTGGCAGTCTTCCACAACTCACTCACAATGGATGGCCACCAGACGCTATCAAATGCCCCTGAAACGTCCATCGAAACGAGGGATGTGTGGAGGCCCTGTCGGCAATTCTCCCAAATTAGGCCGACTGCCCAATGTAGAGCCCAGCAGGTTGACACGTCTGGGTGAAATCCATATTGCTGTGGGTGTAATTGCCCTTGCCATTTAAGGTGACAGTATATTCTACCTGACATAAAGTTGGTGACTGGATATTCAGAAGTGTCATTTTATATGGCACAGGTTGCACATTGATGATCACCTCCAGGGATGCAGTCATCACTGGTTAATGTGGAGTATATGCACAAGTTGGCAGCATGTTTGGAACACTATCTTCCTGTTCTACTCCCATACTTTGAGTCACTGCAGACACTTGTTTTGTTAACGTCAATAATTGATGTTGCAGAACCAGGAATTCCTCATGAGTAATGGTATCTTCATTGGACATTCTTTCGCTTGGGAGATGATGACAATAAATACATCAATCTAATCTAATCTTAAAAAAGAAAAAAATTTGAAGTTTATGACCAATAAAGTCCCTGCATTTTTATTTATTTTTATTTATTACTAATCATTGTTGTTTATATATAAATAATACTGTTCAATCTAATATATATTTCAAATATTCCAAAAAAAAAAAAAAAAAGTCAAGAACAATCAACCAATAAAAAAAATTTTTTTCGTATAATCAATCAAATCTTCACCAAAATAATTAAACAAAGGATATGTTTCTTATGAGCTGATCTTTTATCAAAGAATGCCAGACAATTCGCTTTGATGAAGGTTGCTCTCAGGAGCTACACCATACTGTTGAATGGACGTGTTGTCTTTTGTCTGTCTATCAGTGTAACTCTGCATTGACCTGTTTACATGTCCGTGTGTCATACTAATTTACAACAGTATTAATCCTATTTAGATTTTGGGGTTTTATTAGGAGTTTCCGTCCTTAAAAAAAGACCCAGAAAAGAAAATAACTAACTAAAAATAATGCCCAAAACATAAAATAACAATCGGACTTAGATTCCTGACAGGCTGGCAGCTACTATTTTATATTTTTTTTCCCTAGAAATAATACATATTTTTTAAACATCCTTTATTGCCAGAGAATGAGTTAACTTTTCTACAGATTGGAAAGAAACAATAATTTTGCATTGTAACAGTTAAGGCTGGATTATAACAGCAGCATGAGTTTCAAGTTTGTTAGCTGTTGCCAAAATCGACAAGAAGATTGTCTAGTTCATAGTAAAACTCTAGCCGAGGCTAACTCAACATCAAATGTCAAAGTCAGACATGTCTAGTTTGATGTCTGGCAGAACACAGCTGTTGCATCATAAAGCACTCACAAGATACGCCATTTGAGAATTTAGCCGTAGTTACACTGAAAAATTCCAGTTTATTTGGGTTAAGAAATTGGTGCCCAAAATGCCTGATGTTTCTAACTTATAGTAGTAATTTATTGGCAAATTGTTCAATTTCCAAAACTTCCTTTTTGTTTGGGAAGGGTTCTGTTAATGTTGAATTTTAACAAAATTAAAAATATACATACATTAAAGATTTAATATTCCATTTCAGAAACTGGAAGAGGAGTTTGCGAGGCAGCAAGAAGAACAAGAGAAGTTTTATCACTCCAACATTCTCCTCAACAGTTACACTGAGAACGACGCCTGCAGCCTCCACACGCCCAGCACTCCCGGCTCGGAAATCTCCTTTCCATCAACGTTTGGGTCATTGTAACGGAGAGTGTACAGCACCTTACATGAATTTTTTCATGGGAGAGGGAAAAAATATTGTGCCAAATTGGGACATTTTAATGAATATAGACTATATAAAATTAAGAAAATTGTTTATATTCTTCACGGGCTGTAAAAATTTTAGAGATATATGATTCGCATACATATCAGTTATGTAGCGTCATAATGTTGAAGTTATGAAAGGTTTGAAACCGAGCAGAGATAACCTAAAATAGAATCACGCTATTGCACTTCGGCGTCTGACCGAACGTCGTCGGTACTCAGGGTCGTAATGAAAGTTCTCTTTTCTTAATTTCCGACGCATTCTGTGCAATGGAATATCAAAAAACAAAAGAAATGTTTTTTTTAGTTATTTTTAGAAATTGTATAGTTCAAGTTTAGCAATATTTTTATTGGAATGCTTAGTTATTCCATTTCTTAAAACAGTAAAACTGTTTTTATTTTTTAATTTGAAGTAGCTTTATTCTTATATATTAACTCTAGCATTCATTCTCTCCGCATTTTTTTTAAACACTATACAGTCGATCCCCCTATAAGATCATTGATTTTTCCGTTTTATCTGAATTACATGTTGTACGAGTCACTTAGATTTTACAAATATGTGAGCCGTTCACAGCCCGGCACATGTATTTGTAAAATCTAAGTGACTCGTACAACATGTAATTCAGATAAAACGGAAAAATCAATGATCTTATAGGGGGATCGACTGTAAATGTATGTAAGCTTACAATGTCGCTTTTCGTACATTTATACATTCTTGTATACTCTAGGTGCGAATCTGTTAGTTTAATTTGTCACGCTCGAAGTAATTTTTAAAAATATTTTGCACAGAACATAGAAACATAAGAAACAAAATAAGTTTAGCGAGACGTTAATTTCCAAATGGCAAATTGGTCTCGATACATAAGTACGTAACTCGTGTGCCTCATTACTATTTTCTAAATTATAGTCAATAGATATACACGAATCCCTTTCGTTCAAAAACAGATTTTTTTCTATTTGACGTTTATCCTGAAATTTGTGCACCACTTTGAATGCAATCTCTTTTTCAAAAAATTTCTGCATTTATTTAGATAATATATTTTATAATGCTTAATTCATCTGTTAGACAATGTATTTTGTTTTTATTAAGAAAATATTAATAAAAATAAAGTTTATATGAATTATTGTTTGTTTGTTCCTTACTATTTATCACTGTCCTAATTATACAGCATGTTAGTAAATAAAATAAATAATTTATCAATATGTATAATTAATTGAAAATGATTAAAACTATTATCTAGGTAAAAAAATATATATATTTACATCAATATTTACAATTTACAAAAAGAAGATGCAATTATGCATAAGGAACCCAATTGCTTCCGTCTTCGGGTACGAGAGAACCGGTGACCAGAAGGACGATGTCCACAATCCACCAGATGCCCACGCCGCCCAATGTCAGCAATTTCCCCACCGCAGTACCGGTGTGCCCGAGACAGAAGCGATCCATTCCCAAGAATCCCAGTAGTACCGAATATAATAAAGTAGTTACAAAATAATGGCCGCTGTATCTAGTAGAAAGAAAAGTGCCATATATTTAAATGACCAATTTTATTGAGAGACACAAAGCATTATGTCCAGAAAATAAGCATAGAAAAACTTGAAATTTAACATTCAAGCAGAACATTTTCAATTACATCAAGCCAAATAAGGCAAGAAAAAGTAATAAGCACCGACCTACTGCACGCAACTTGTTTCCTTAGAGTACCAATTCCCACCCCAAATAGAAGGCTGTGTAAATTCCTTTTTCCAAACATTACTCTCATTTAAAAATCCTTTAAAAGCTTCCTAATAAAAATAGAATGCAATAGATTTTTGTACAAATTTGTGACATTGGCACACATCAATAACAGAATATGTTTAATTAATTCATTAAATAACTTTTGACATATTTTTTGAAAAACAAAATACATTTAAGTTTGCTGCTGTATCTATCGTGAACAAAAGGCGGCATTATCATTTCTGTTCAATGACAAGACTGTCACACTTCTCCTACAAGCAATCCTCATCTTAGTCACTTTAACAATTTGCTTACAAATCTTAAATGTGTTACAAAATGGATGTTAATATTTTTATTCCTTTCACTTCTTATATTTATCTATGTTTTCATTCCATAAAACCAGTTTTTTGAAGTTAAATGTTATAAAATCTATTACAATTTTTGGAAGAAATTTGGCCAACTTTATCAAAAATTCAACCTCTACTTAGTGAGCTTTCTGATAAAATGCAAGACCATTCATAATGATTGAATCTATATATTAGCAAATTTTTTTAGTCTTAACACTGAAGTCAAATTTAAAATTTATCTTTTACTTTTTAATGTTCAAATGGAGTCATGGGAGAAAAAGCTTGCAAATTATTGCCATAAGTGTTCAACAGGATTCAGGTCTGGAGATTTTGCTGATTATTTCAAGTAATGTATATATTCATTGATGAGCATAGCCCTATGTTTACGGGCATTATCGTCCATAAAAATGAAATATGCACCCATGACACTTTGAAAAGAGATGTTCCAAAACCTTGTCTCTATATCCTCTTGCAGTAATGGCATCTCACTCAAAACCATGGTTTTGAGTGAGATGCAGGTTGAGGTGGATACCATATATCACCTCAAACTGATCTTTTTCATGGGACTGTGTCAGGGTCCTCACACTCTTCACATTTTAATCTGATGAAAATTGTTCTGTAGAATGTACCCAGACTCATTATTGACCATTGCCCCATTCATTAAAAGTCAGTGTCAAGAATCCAACATTAATCTTAATTAGGCTTTTCCAAGTACAGGGACAAATGGAATGAATATACTTGTAATCTAGCAAAAAGACTTTGCACAAAGTCTCTTGTAGATAGTTTGTCAAGAAACTCTAATACCAGTGGCAATACACAGCTATGCACAGAACTACTACCAGACATTCTTCTATTACAATGTACTGAATGTCAAATAGCAGCCCTGTTGAAGGGTAGCAACTCTTGGATGTCCGTTTCCTGGAGTCCAACATATTCAGTTCTTTAAAATCTGGTTCAAAGCCTGAATATGACAGTCTGTAACACATTTAGAGTCCTGGAAAACTGGTCTGTTCTAGCCTTTCAATAATTTTTTCATTTACAGTATTAGCTACATAGTGTGTTTGTAACATTATCACCCTCAGTGTCATGCAGGCTCTAAGTACAGAAGTACCATGGCACTGTTTCTTTTGCAGTTTCACTGTCGAGGACAGGTTTTTGCAATATTTTGTCTAAACGCGTGCTTTTTAATAGAACATTCGACTACATCCGGAGTATTTTTTATTGTCTGGAAACATTTGCAAAATTTTTCAAGTTTACTCTTTGCTTTGCACTATCTATGAATTGAACAATTATGCTTATTTTTTGGACATAAGTGTATAAATATATTATGTAATAGAACTGTAAATAGCTTAATGAGAATTGGAGCAATATCAATTTGGTTTAAGATTTTAAAAAATGCTAATTTCTTAATAATAATATTACTTGTATTAATTAAATTCACTCACTTAATGCAAGGAAAGCCCTCCTTCATAAAACTCCTCCTCCCTCGACATTCAATTCCAAGAAGAACTGTGCAGTTAACTGCCGTCTTTTGGACATCTTCGTACTTCTGTCCTCCAAACTAAAACACACAAAAAGTTTTGTTTCAGAAAGTATTATGGTGCACAAACACAAATAGAATATTAAGTTTCATATTTTCCAGTTCAATATTGAATTTTGAATCTACATAGAATTAATTCTGATGTAATAATGCACTCAGCAATTAAGAATATTGTTCAGACTTTAAATATTTTACCTTTCTTTAGCTTAAAATAAATATATTTAAATGTAAACAATGTTTGATTCCTCATAAGCTTGTCAGATTTATATATTTTGGAACATGTTCAAAATTCTACAACAACATATTGAACAATAATTAGGAAGAGAAGTGCAGTGATGGAAGATATGGAAAAGTTATTGCGAGTTTGGATGGAAGATCTGCATCAATAGCACATGCCTACGTTTAATTCAGCAAAAAGCCATAAGTTTGTTTGATGGTTTAAAGAGGAAACAAGGCGAGAGTGTTACAGAATAGCAGCAATCAAATTTCATTTGTAATTGGCTGCAATTATTGAGGAGATGCTACCTCCAGGAACAAATATTCAATATCAATGAAACTAGTCTATACTGGAAGAAAATGCCAACATGTATGTATATTTAAAAAAAAACTGGGTTCAAACCATTAAAACATAGTTACATACCTGCTAGGTGGAGATATTGCCAGTGACTATAAAATTGAAACAATGCTAGTTTACCATTCCAAAACTCCTATATCCTTCAAGGGCATTGTTGAAGCTTTGCTTTCAGTTCAGTGGAAATCCAATGCTATATATGGATGACAAAGATAGTATTTGAAAACTGGTTCTTCCATGTATTTGCTCCAGTAGTACTGTTTCAACAAAACCTGCCTTTCAGTGTTCTACCTGTACTCATCCACAACAATATCAACTTCCTTCTAATACAACCTCTCCTTCAGTCGAAGGATTAAGATACAATAGCAACTTTTAAAGCTTACTATCTATGCAGACCCTTCTCACAGGCTACGAAAGAGATTGAAGGAATGAATGGTGTAACACTTATACTTCTGGAAGAACTACAACATAAACAAACCAATAAAAAACATTGATTTTTGGCATGAAGTAACAAACAAAAATATGAATGGTGTTTAGAAAAAGCTTTCTCCACAATTTACTGAGAATTTAATTCAGCTACTGCCTTCAGTGACTAATGAGGTAGTGAAATTGTCATGGCTATAATTTGGCTATGGGAAGGCTGCGGATACATCTTAAATACATCTCTGTTAGAGGGCGTTCTGTAGCATTAGAGCACGAGGTGTGCATGCTTTTCTTGTAGAGCTTGTGAGTTCTTGTTAGTTAACAATAAAGTTGTTATTACTATATGCCTAAATTAATTGTGAATACTGATATCCTAGCATGCAAAAATAACTCAACAGAAATTACATTTGGAAACTGAGGAAGATGTTGTTAATGAAGTGTGGGAAAGTCATAGTCAGGGGCTCAGTAATGAGGATTTAGCAATCCATTCTAAGGATGCAACTATGTAGATGCAAGCGAGTGAGAATATGTGGCAAGAAGAGGTGATGACATTTCATGCTCTCATTTATTATGACCAGAAACAACAGCAAAAAACAGTGTGAAACGTCATCATCTTCTCGCCACACATTTTGGCTCACTCACATCTGCATAGTCGTACCCTAACCCAGCTCTTATTTTAACTAAATATAAAAACACCTTACCACTAGGGTATTTAAATTTTCTTAATTAACGTTTTTCGGCTCTGTGAGCCCTTGTCAGGTAAATTGTGTTTGAATTCAGAACAACAACAAACATTTCTTTTCAAATTCCAAATGGGATTAACAAGAATATATTTAACAACTTTTTAACTTTAAAATCCTAAATTATTATACAGCAGAGTCCCAAAAACTCGGCCTAATGTGGACCGAAGGGTGGCCGAGTTTGTGAAAATGCCGGATTATTGGGAATGGAGTTAAAAAAGAATAAGTACAAGTATTTCCTCAGAAAATACTGTACTGCACTTGTATGCATTGTTTACTTGAGAATACAACAGAGAATAAACTGCCCAAATACCTTTAAACAAAAGAAAAGTACATACTTTATGAAGGCCTTTACTACATGAAAATGAAAATTAATGAATGCACAGTGTACAGTAATTTACCTGATAAGACAGACTTCAGAAAAATACTTTATGAAGCATAAAGCTGTCTATAATGAAAATTAACTAGGGGTTTTTTCACCCTGCCAGGGTGTGGCCGAGTTATCCAGACTGCCAGGTTATCGAGTGCCAGGACTCTACTGTAATAATAAAACTATCTCCCAAAAAAATTAATACAATACTATTTAAGATTGACAACTGTCCAATATTATTGTACTGTACATATTACCTGGTGTTATTACTCATCCCAAGTACTTTTTTAATAGCATTTCTCCATGCAGTTGGAAATTGTTCTACATCTCTGACATTAATACATTCATTTCTAAGTTTATGTTTACAAATCTAAATTTTTTCTCTATTCACGGCTGTAGATGACGAATGTACTTCCTTAATGATTTTAGATTCCTCCCACAGTACCGAAGTTCCTTGTATGTTTGTGATTGCTGCCAAGGTCATGTTTTCTTTATATCATGTTGGTGTTCTTTAACTCTGGTTTTTAAATTTGTCTTAGTTACTCAAACATATGCCATTTTTAGGTTAAGCTCTTCATTAACTATCGGGATCCTGTATACTCCTGCTTTATTTTCTTCTGGGAGTGGATCCTTGTTGTTTCTCAATATAAATTAGGACTCTTTTATATACCACGTGCAAATTATTTTGTTTAGAAAGTTCCTCCATTATATGCCTGATATCTTTTTGGTATGTGAACTTTGTACAAACCATCTCATTCATTTTCACTTTAATGGTAGTATTTTTGTTATGATGATTAACCAGACTCATCAACCATTTGTTCGAATATCCCAGTTATCCTCCTAATTCCTTAGCACTAAAAACAGTGATGATGATAACCTACAGATACAATATAAATACATTTCAATTTTGGACTAATTACAAGTTATTAATAAACAAGTTGTTCTATTAAAATGCTGAGTCAGGATGATTTTGTATTCACTTTGAAATAGTTTCCAAGATTTTTAACCATGTAAAAGATAAGGGTCACATAATCACAGGAGAAGCACAACAGTTCTCAAAAAAATAAAAAAAAAAGCCTCTCGATTCACAACAGTCACCACCAAACATGTGGTTGCAACATGGAAGCCACAGTTGCTTGTTGAAAATCCTAAAAGTGTTCTACTCAACAGATCAGACATCACTGATATCTCTGAGTGAATAAGAGAACCGTGCACAGTGTTTTTTTCTGAGATTTCAGATAGGTAAAAAAGGGAATTAAAAAACATTTTTGTTGTCTCAGGTTGTCAGGGGTTTTCTGGCACAACAGCCACACAGGCCAAGCTGTTGACTGTTTCAAAAGTTAAATTGTAAATAAAATTTTATAATTAAATATCATCTCAATAATGATAATAAACAACAACAGGGTATTTAAAAATAAAATAAAATAGAATAACGAGATTTCTTTGTACATATTAGTGACTTTCAGAAATTCCAGTAGCACATCAAGATTTGGTCTCTGGCCCAGAATTCCCAACAAATTTGTATTTTTAAAATGATGTCTATGACTCCTTTCAAATACAGAAAAACTGCACAGTATGTGTTAATACTTAAAGTACAATTGCAGTGCTGGCATACCAGGTGGTCTTTGTCCTTCAAAAGGTATTGATGAGTCAACAAAGTATGTCCAATTCTCAAACGAGTAAGAATGACCTCCGATCTCCTGTCATAAACCTCATTAGGTGTCAATTCTCAATTAAAAGCTTGATCTTGCACAGTTTATTGTAGACNGTTTTATAAAATTAACTGAAACATGCATCCATAATAAAGTGATTTTTCTGATCATTTAAAAACATATATATGCGTACATGTGATTCATAAAGTAACTCTAATAAGTGAATTGATGATGGAATTCAGTATTGGATAGTATTGATTTTAATTCTGCTTGGTGTCTGCTTGTTAATAAGAATGCAATAGCAAGCCTAAATATCAAATAACTATATTTAAATTTTATATTTTCAAATTCTTTTTTCCTCTATTAAAATGGATTTAATTAAAATTTATGTTCAAATATCCTATTACAGAACGCACATTTACTAACAGAGAATTTTTTTTTTAATCTTTGGGATAAAATCCAAGATCTTAATGAGAAATATGAAAATCTATCACCGACAATCTGACACAAATAGTGTTTGTAAACATTAATACTTTCTAGAAAATTCAGAAAGAAATGAATGACATAAACTTAATTATATATTAGTAGCAGATATCAGAGCTGATAGAATTCCAAAATAGCTTCTTTACTGAATGTAGTATGAAATGTTATAGCAGGGGTGGGCAAGCAAGAGTTCATTGGGAGCTGAAATGTAAGTTTTGCAAATTGCATGGGAGCCATAGTTCTGTACATTTTTATTCTGTACTGCAATTTTATTATATAATATAAATATAATATAAAACAAATATTGAATTTTTTTAATAAACATATTTTCAAAAAATTGTGGAAATAAAATTGTAAAAATAATAATAAAAAGCAGAAATTAACACTTTCAGCAAGAGCCGCATGTAACTCAAAAAGAGCCGCATTTGCCCATGTCTGCAATAGGCTGTTACTTCTGTGGTAGTGTGAAAAGGATAGACTCAAAAATGTTATAATTTTTGTAAATAGTCTTAATTCAACTTTAATTGAAGGTATCCTGGGTTATCATCATGTATGATTTTATGCAAATGACCATTTTTTCTTTATAGTCTGCAGCTCTGCAGTGAAAATAGATGCCTTGGGAGAAATTTGATATGTCATGATTTTATCACAGCAGACAAATGCTGAACCAACACAGTTCCCTGATTTAGAACCATCCATGTATATGGGAATTAAATTCCTATTATTTAATTGTTTAATGTTATTTCCTCATATGCATATGAAAAGACTAAAGTTAAAAGACAAATTTGTATGTATTGTCTATTCACAAATTTTTTCTTAAATATTTGTAAACTTAAGAAAAAATTTCATGTGGTTGATACTTATTTCAATGTTTCCTAAAGTCTTAATTGCAAAATGTCTTGCTGATTGCTGCGGTGATATAGTCTCAAGCAATAGGTCTCCTGATCTCAACTTTTGTACTTTTCTTGAATGCCCAATAGTCAGCTCGAATAGCTTCTGAATCAGAAAAGGAGAGCATTTGTACAGTGGTTTTTCTCCAGTAGCATGTCTTCAGTAGACTGGCTGACTGAAAATGTTCATGTTGTTTGTAGGCAATTGCTCTGTACATGGACATTTTGTATTTTTTTGAGTCTATGATTAGTAGAAAGTTATTCAGTTCCCAGTGACTCCACCCACCACAGAGTCCAACAAGGGTTGTCACATGGAAGATCCCCATAGACTGTCACACCAGGGTATCCCAGGAGTTATACTCTCACAATTCTGACTCTGGGCCGAGGTCAGAATTGACTCAACAACCAGCTGATTCAGTCAAATGGAGCCTGATTTGAGCCTCCCATTTATACAAAGCAAGGACCAAAGCAGTCCCTCAACTGGCAGGATCCCGATTTCCATCATACAGGTCACCTCACACAGCAAACCCATGAGTGGGCATTCAGATTCCAAAGATGGTAAAGAAGAGATATTAAACCATCTCTGATCTCTGGGAAGTCCCTTCATCACAGACAGGAACCCACATTGAAAGGATTGTTGTCTCAGAGAATAACGTGTATAAGAATTTAATATATTAAAGTAAAAACGAATATCCAGAATATACTACAAGAAATAAAAATCGATATATTTCAACAACAGTTTAAAGTTACACATGAAATATAGCAAAAAACCTACAGTAATAAATACAGCCTATACCATATTGCTGCTACTTGTCTATTCTATATGTAATATATTTCAGTATTCTGTACCTAAAAGCATAAAATGTTTTTAAAATAATATGCTAGATTGATTCATGTGCTAACCAAGAACATAAGAATTATTTAAATATTCAAGTAAAATAATTGATGTGCTGAACAATGCCACTATCTTTACTCAAAGTCATATCTACATTATAATTGCTGCAAGAAATGATTGAGGTAACTTCAGCTTTTTTAATAATCAGCTAATTAGTTAAATCTTAGTATTTCATGCCTATTTCTTGCATTTTTGTCAAATTATATATATAAAAAATTACCTTTGTGCATCCATAACCTAATTCTTCTCTTGCTGTTTCATTTCCCTTTAAATCGAGAGGTGCTTCGCAATCTAAAAAATCCAATGGCCTACATAAAAGTGAATTATACTCATAATTTCAACTGTTTTTCATTTTATTTAATACGTTATTTATTTAGGAACTGTCCATAAATGCGACACAATGTGAGAAAGAGAGGGAAAGGATCTTTGTAACGTCAGAACACTAAACGATAACAAAAGGTAAATGTGCATCATACAGTTAGTTTACTATGGCGAAATTTCTGTGTTTATAATAGTGTGGACTTTAAATCATCACACACTCACTATTTGTATGTTACAAATGACTCATTAGCTCATTTTTACAACTCTGGAGTCAAAAGAATGTTATGAAATTATTGTGCTGGTGTTTCGCAGTCATAATCTGTTGAGTTAAACAAGGTACTTTGTATATACAAAGAATCTCAGTATCTATCAGGGAACAGGTCTGAGACCAAGCACACTACTATCTTTACAAGTTAAGCAATTATCTACTGTGTAAGACTTGTTAAAAATGTTTGAATAATTTCAAGTTTATTTTCAGAATAAGAAAGAAAAAAAGAATGTAGAAAGCAATACTCTATAACATTTTCTAAATCTGTAGAATATGTTTTTTATTTCAATTCATAAACATATTTCTGTATAACCAGTTTTTTTGTAATTTTAATTTATGCATTTAAAAACATTAGAGAGGTTGAGGCGCACGTTTTAAATGTGTAAACGTGTACGTGTGACGTTCGGCGCCGCTTTCCCGTAAGCCTAAAAGTTTGACGATGGTGTTTGGAATGTCGAGCGTGATTCCACCAACTATCCAAACACCATTGTCAAACTTTTAGGCTTACGGGAAAGCGGCGCCGAACGTCACACGTACACATTTACACGTTTAAAACGTGCGCCTCAACCTCTCTATTATTCTGAGAAAAGATTGCATAACTTTCACCTGACTAAAAAAAGGGGTCCATAGAACTAACTCCTTGACTACAGTACCTATCATTGGCTGGAAGGAAACAACTTTAGAATCTGTTCGGAATGCTTTAATCAAAAATGTAATACAGATGATGTCTAGTGGATGGATGTTAATAATGTAGACACAACAGAACAAAGCATCCCAATGGTCTCACAGGCCTCTAACATTCCCATGGTATCAATTGAAAAACACCTTACAAATCCCTGGGAGTGAAATAATAGCAAAATTACAGCTATGAATGAGCAAATAAGACTTTATCAGAGTTGTAGACCACACCCATAAGAGTAAAAAAGTCAAAGAAACTGTAATGGTCTACAACAGTGGTAGTCAACCTGGTCCCTATCGCCCACTAGTGGGCAATTTGAGCCTTCATGGTGGTCAGTAGGGGTTTCGTCCAACGTCAAAGCTACTTTCCGTTATCACCACACATCTATGACTCACTGATGGAGCAGGTTGTACTGTAACAGTGGCCATCACTCGAGTTGAGCTTGTTTTGTGGTGAAGTCGTGTTGCCAGATTTAGCTACTTTTTTCAGTTTGACGTAAAAAACAAACACTTGGTGCACTGGCAAAGAAAATTCCTGTGTATTATAACATTCCTGTGTACATTTGAAAAATATAAAGATAAATTTAACTACATATTTTTACTAAATCGCCACTCAAAAATTATGAGTACTTTGCAATTGCACTAAATTAACTTACTGCAGAACCGGTGGGCAGTTAGAAAACTTTACTACCAATAAAGATACAAAAGTGGGCAGTAGGTATAAAAAGGTTGACTATTCCTGGTCTACATGGAGCCTGATTTGAGACTAATAGTTGCTTATTAAACACAAACTTAAAGTGTGCAATGTGGCTCCAATTGTGTACCAGTAGACAGTGCAATAATGTTCTTGGGTTTTGTTAGATTTTAGCTTTTTAGCATTATTTTGAGAAATAGTTCTGGATCTTTTCACTTTTAAATTTTATGCCATTAATAAGGATCTTCAAAATTCCAGATAGGCTGATTTCAGGGCTGTATCTTGCTATATATACCTATGTGTTCGTATGACTATCAGTTCATTTGACTTTTTTTACTCCTGGGGCATGGTCCACAGCTCTGATAAGGTCCCAACCATCTCCTTCAGAGTTTAATTTGTTATAAAAGTAATTTGTTAAAAATAAAAGTTTGCTATTCTTATAGTGTTTTACTTTGATAAAAATGTAAATATCCATTACATAATTGACACAGCACATTTATGACGTAATAATACAAAGGCCTTGTAGGGGACGTCAATCAGGAGGAGGACTTTGTCATAATATAAACAATGAATGACGTCAGAAGGATTTTAAATGTGGAATTTTAGCGTGTTAGCATTTATGGACTACTCCTTACTGTTGACAAGTAACTTACAGATTTTCACACGGAACTAAAGGACTAGACGGACTACAATCTTCTTCTTTAAGACAATGTTCTGGATAATTCTGTTCTTCTAAGTATATTTCTTTCACAAATATTAAAAAAACAAGAACATAATAATGGAAGTTTCTCCACTTGCACGCCGCCATTTTTCCTTACAAAAATAAGTGTTGCCAGATTAATTTGTTTTTAAAATAAGTCTGTGATATTATAAATTCGTACGTTAATTTTATTTTTAGATAAAGAAAGTAAATTAATTAAATAATTAACATTTTTATAATTTCTTCTTTCTTATGATTATTATAAATTTAATATTGTATTTCCAGGAAACATACGTTCGTTTCGTTGTAACGTATTAAATCGACAAAAATAGATAGCGGTCAATTTTTAAGTAAGATCATAAATTAAAAATAATAATAGTAACAGTTACAAATTTTGAAAAATTGTTATAAAATTAAAAAATAAAATTATTAAAGTGTTTGGATTTATTATTTAAAAGTCGGTTTTATTTTTGACGGTAGGGTGCGGTGTGGATTTCTGATTTGGAATGCCTTATTTTACGTGTTTCGGGTAGAGTTACGTCAGTTTAACGTCATTATGAAAATTTTATTTATTGTAAAATTTAAGAGATGACGTCAAAGCGTGTCTTTATAAACGACATTTCGTCTGATCCCTTTTCATTTCCTCGTGGAGAAAAGATGCGACAGATTTGAGACAGGACCTGAGACAGGACCTGAGACAGTACTTCGGCTCACAATACATTAAAACCCAATTCACGATTCCGTACATATCCCAGCAAAACGGAGTAGCGGAGAGAAAGAATCGTTCGCTGATAGAAATGGCTAATTGCATGCTTCCGGATGCCGGATTATCTAATCGTTACTTGGAGAAGCAGTGTGCACTGTGGCATACCTATATAACAGGTTACAGAGCCGTGCCGATACGATGACAGACGGAGACAAACGGCCAGCAAGTCACATTTCGTAACGAATTAAGTATGCATAAAGGATCCTGTAAAAGTGTTAGCTTTTGGCGGCTGCCATATCACGTTGAAAATACCGATGTCAAGCAGCGTCGGGACCATTCAGTACTTGGAAATACCGGGTGCTGCTGCCATTTTCCTCTCCAGGGGAATAAATACGTTTATAACGACTTTAATTTCAGTATTGTTTACATTATTATACAAATATATATCATGAAATTCAGTCACTGTACATCCTTTAATCGTTATCACTAAAGTTTGTCTATAACTGCTCGAAGCCGGTATCATAATGGAAGTTTTTACATTTGCTGTAGAATGGCAACTTATGTTTGTTTTTAACTGAAAGTTTAAAAGAGTATTTCTTTCCTCGAGACTTTAGAGTCATTATATTTAATCCAGTTTCGGCGATATCCTTTGTATCCAATGATCCTCAATGGAAGAACAAAGTTCCTTCAACAATACGGACCACTAAACTTCGAGAGTTCTACAATACAGAGTTTACTAAACAGGTTATACACATCTGAATTTTCGTAAAAACTTTCTACTACAGGAATAAAATTATAAAATGGATTGTCAACGCACTTCAATCAATAACTACACAGACACCAGGTGTTGCTCCAAGAACCAGGTGTTCGACGAAAACATTTCGCCGAAAGAAGCTATCGTCCAGTGCATGAATTAAACCCGTATTTATATAAAAATAACGGCAAACAGGGAAGAAGAAAACGGCAGCAGAACTCGGTATTCCCAGGTCATTCCCATCCCAAGTACTAACCGGGAGAAAGGCAAAAAAATTGACGGTTTTTTTCTGTATGTATAGATGTTATTGTGTTTGGGGCGCATGATTTTGTTCATTCTATTCGAACCTTAATAATTTCTGTGCTTTTTGTCGAAAATTTCTGAAACTATGAAGGAAGGTTTGTTTGTTAGCGGGATTGATTCTATTAAGTTTTGACGGTTGAAGATCGAAGAGAGGGGAGATAAATGGAAATCGTTTCACATCACACAAGACAGTTTATATTTTATTAATTCTATTATAATTATTATCTGTTTAAACATTAATATTGCATGTGAATACGGTCTGACACCCAACATGGCGTGAAAACTAATAATTATATATGACTGTAGAACTAAAACAAAAAAAAATATTGTGCAAAATTTATTCATAATAACATACAAAGACTACAACGTTGATTTAAGAAAACTGTATTTTCGGCAGTTATCTGTGGTGAACCACTGCTATACTTTAATGAAAACTCTGTAAATCTACTCTGTTACATGTACAAAACGGATATAAATAGTTACACCACCGCAATGTGATGTCTCCTGCTTAAATAGAACTTCGTCTTCGTTATTTTGGAACTATTATAATAGATTTTTCACAAAGCACTTGATATTGACGTAGATTTTATAATTATTCTCTCCACAATATACAATGTATTCGATTTTCATTTCTGCAGCTGTTCAAATTGCAATTTTCTATAACTTTGAAAAATTGGTATTATCGTCACCTTTCTAAATTGATTCCAAAGAAAGAAAACAATAGATGTATAATTTATCAACATCAGTGTTATTTATAGTTGCTTTTCTTTCTTGAGAAAGCAACCTTGAAAAGTGTCTGCAGTAAATTGCATTTTACTTGGATATTCGATGCTTAAAAAAGAATAGATGAGAAATAGTTTGTTCCATAACTTATGTATTAGTCATTCAAACATAAACAAGACAGTCGAAAACAGAAATTCTGATTGAAACTGTCAAATCTCTTAATTAATTCTCATATGTCAATAGACAACTTCTCTTGTCAACTTAGACTATCAATTAATTACATTAATTTATAGTGGTAAGAACTAGCTAGCACAGTTTCCAAAATCTAAAAATATCAATTATTTATTATTATTATTATTAATAAATGTCTTTTATATACTAAAAAAGACATAATAATCATAACAATAGAATTTTACTTTTTATCACTTATCGCTGCACAAACCACACTTTTCACGGTTCATTACTGCTCCGATAGTGTTTCTTTACAAACACAGCCGTGCTTACAGCAGAAAAAAATGTCATTTCGTATGTGCTAATCTCATATATGTGCATTCCACTTGAAGTTTTAAAATCAATTAAGAAGTGAATTTCGTTCTTCAACATATAAGTCTATTGCAAGTTGTATTAATTTCGTATCGTGAATATATTACAAAAGTAACAAATTTCTTTTCTGATAAAATATTTACCAACAATGAGGTTTCATACGCTGTATATTAGTTAGATTCAGTAGAATTAGATAAGAATATTTCGTTACATTTCCTGTTTCCTTTCAATGCATTACTTAATTTTAAAAGTCCTGAAAGAATAGAATGCAATGTACTCGCCATCTGAAAAGAACGGAAATCGAAATTATGAAGTTACAGTAAAAATTTAAAACTGTCTTACAATTTTCCAGTAAAAAGAATTTAATAAATACTTATATGATTATAAACTGAAATAACCTTAAAAGGAATTTTCTTATCCACATCAAAGAAACCACCGATTGAAAGACACAAGGAAACTTTCCCAAATCTCTTCATAAAATCTAAAATCTACAAAACGAAATAAACAATAATCGCAATAAGAATTGCAGTAAACAGTAGTAAAAAATGTTAGTTGATTCAATTTTATTTCAATAAATATTAACCGGTGTTGAAATATATTATTTCTGACAATATTAAAAATATATGGCCATTATTTATTATATTTTAGCATGTAAGAAGTTATAGTAATTTTACCAAGTCTCAATTCATTCACTAATGGTTAAAAATATATACCTTAAGTTTCTGTTCCAGTTTAAGACTACAATCTGCGAGTTGACGAATATCTTAAAAACCATTCTGCATCTAAAACGTAAGAAATTAGCTTACGGAAAAATGACTTGCTAACACGAATACTTACCGAAAATGCGAAACAAGATAGTGAACAACCCCAGATTATAAAGATGAAAGTAAAAAGTATGGAACCCAATAAGGCAAGTAAGTGCATTGATCCGTTCATTTCTAGAAAGAGATAAACATAAAACCAAAAACTCGTCATCCAAATGACAGAAAAGTACAGAAAGCAAAACGGATGATTAAGTTTAGTGTTAAATTGATTGACGAATGTCCACAATTCTTGGTGACGTAACATCAATTTATTTAATTTATTCGGCATATTCTTGTGTTTTTTCTTCAATGAGGAGAGTTCAAACATGAGATGTTCAAATTCTTTATAAGCGACCAACAACAATAAAGTTGGTAATAATAACGCAGATGCAAATCCTCCTATTAAACATATCTTAAGTGGAGCACTCAGAATAGAGCATAAGAGTGGTTCGCCTTCAAATTTCTTTTTTCTTTCTACTCCGGGGTAATAAAAATATACATTCATAAATTGAAAAGAAATAATAAATATCATTGCCAAGAAAGATGTCAACAGGGAAATGTTTCTAAGTGAAGTATTCTTTTCGTTTATCATCTTTCGTTGGAAGTATTTATTTTTTAAATCAACTTCTAAATTGATTTTGTTGTCATTTTTCGTAAGAATAGTTAAGCAGATGGAATAAATTAAATACATTATTGCAAAAGCTGTAGTTATTAGTATGGGCTTATTAGTTACATTATCGAACAACCCTTCGCATATTGCATATTTATTCAATCCCGGTATTATCTGCCAAAGTAGAATAAAAGTATTTTGCCATACAACATATTTTACAAATTTAATATATTTATTTTTCAACTTAAAAATTTTCAGCGTAAATATTTCTTTCCTGCACCTACATATGTTAAAAACATCGAAGCCAAATATGACAGCCATTCTTAGGCAAGGTTCTAACAAACAAGTCAAACAAATCTCTTCTTGTAAATTAGAATACATATTTCCTGTTGTTTGTTACAAATTATTAGGAAAATTTTGAATTATTAACAAATTATTATGAAAATTTTGAATTCGTGTTTGCATAAACCATTTCGTCCATGGGACAATATGTTTCTTGATATAATATAATCGTTATTAATTTATGAAGTAATTTACCTGGGAGTGTCTGCCACCATATATCCAACAATTAGAGTTACATTGATATTTTTAGTAGCTTAAAAGTTTGAAATGATGATTCTCTTCTTTGAGATAAGAACGTTGTGAATTTCAGTGATCTTTTATTCTAATATACATTATATTGATTTTAATAGTCAATATGTACATCATACCAAACTTTAAAAAGAATTCTTCTTGCAGATATCCATTAATAAAATAAACATCTTAATAGCACAAATTATCGATATGCATTAATAAAGCAGACACATCTTTATACTTGAAGAGATATTTCGTCCTATTAAACTGTTTAAATAGCGATAATTCACCTTGAATTTTACGATCGCGTGCATTAAATTGATTATTAAATCCATTTTATAAATATGCCTATCTGAATAAAACGTGAAAAAATAATAATATACATAATGTTCCTATCTGAACGAAGGCAATTATAATTTCTAATTTTTAAGTTCCCTAAACACATGACTAAAGGTTTTACTATTCATAAGAACACTTCTTACCTTTTAAGATGATTATTTTATTAATGGATAACAAAACATAATGCTTTTATGTTCACAACATAGTATTAAAAATTCAAAGCATATAATTAAAATATAGAAAAAATAAAATTAAGCTATAATAAATATAGCTAAATAAGTAGTTCCGCCATTTTGTAGATTTAAGTTAATACGAATTATTTAGCTAATATATCTGGAGTCGTTATACGTAGTCTTGTTAGCTTTTATAGTAATTTGTATGCATTGTATGTAATCTACGTGTCTGAATAAATATCTAGTTATTAGTGGATTTGTCGTCTTTCATTTCTGTATCGCTACGACCCCTCCCCCACTCCATGTTATCCCGGTTCTTCCCTCTAAAATACTAGAATCTCAGCTCAGATCACTAATAAAATTTTCACAAAGATCACGGTGAAATTTTGAATACAAAATTAAGTCCTTGGCACACCTACGATATCTCGTAAATTAATAAGATTCATTTACTTATTTCAAGACTTCAAGCATATTTTTACAAAGTTCATAAGACGAATAGTTACAGGAAACTAAATAGAAAAAGTTCATATGAAGAATAAAGAGAACGTTATCTACAGTTCCAGTCTTTATTGAATTTAACACGTTGTATTAGGCACAAAGTAATATTAATATAAAATGAAAACAATAATTATCTCTGATAAAGTACAGTATTAAGTAAATCTCATATTCTTGTAAGAGCGAGAAGTGACAGTCGAAATTTCTATAGTAGTATAACTAAACTCACCAGATTTTTGCAAAATGTTTGAAATTATGAGCCTAAAAATATCGTGTAAGAAAGATTTCCACGCGCATGTAGTCATTCGAAGCATTTAACACAGCCAAATTGTATGAAAGCTTGCGGTACCCAAGCTTTCGAAGTATTGTGTACAGTAGAGCCTCGATTATCCGACCTAATTGGGAACTGGGGTTGGTCGAATAATTGAATGGGCGGATAACCGAAAAGTATGAAAAAATCTATTATTAGTGTAGTATATTATTATATCCCATGTAATTAGTATATTAGTATATCGCTATTAACCTACTTTGCGTTGAATTTTCATCGATGTTAAGCCTAACAACAATTTTTTAAAATAATAATCATTGCTATTGTATCGTTAAAAATTAGAAAGTTAAGCCTCGTTTAAATACTGGCTCCCTTTCATGGTCGATCCAGTGTTGCCAGCTAAAACACATATAAATAATATTAAAGTAGCCAAGACATAGCCAAATATTGTAGCGCCACATCAATAGCTGACATTTGAAATTTGCGGACTAGGACGGTCGGTTAACCGAGGGGTCGGTTAATAGGTGGTCGGATAATCGAGGCTCTACTGTACTTTCAAATCTAAATTGTGAATTGTTGTGAGTTACGTATGTTGTCGTAAGTAGTAGTAAGTAAGTAGTAATTATGGAAAGTGAAGAGTTTTGTATAATCAGTGACCTGTTACAGAAGTTGTTTTCTAGAAGAAATGTAGCCGAAAAAATCAAAATTGTGAGAAATAATAGATTATGCCCTGAGATTCCAAATTTAACTTTCGATCATAAAGACAAGAATGGAAAATATGTACGACATTTTACGACATACTTCTCACAACAAAGGAAACTACATAGAACTTCTGGAGTTAATTCGTCTATATGATCCACTATTAGATAATCATTTAAAAGAATCGACAGTTTTCCAGAGCACCTCTTCTGAAATTCAAAATGGTTTGTCTGCATTTCTTTAGTATTTACAGATAGAATAAACCAGGAACTCGAGTAGATTGAGTTTGTAGCGTTAATTTTAAATGAAACCTCCATTGTAATAAACAAGTCACAGCTTTCAACTATTCTTCGTTTTGTTTATCAAAATGGACAGACTCGGGAAGGATTTCTGATATTGGTGGCGATCGTTCAGCTGCAGCACCTTTAGAGAATGTTAAAATTGTTCTGAATGATTTCAAGTGTGGTAGCGAACTTATTGCACAAACATGTGATAGCGCTACAGTAATTGCAGGTCAAGTTAACGGTTTAAATGTAAAAGCGAAAGAGCTATATCCCACTGCAGTTTTCGTTCACTGCTACGGCCACATGTTAAATTTAACTCTACAACAATCATCCTCAAATATCAAGGAATGCAGATTTTCTGTCAAACACTTTCGGAACTTTCAGCATTTTTTTTCTGTCTTCTAAACGAACTTCATGCGCTCTTCAGTGTTTTGTTGCAAAGAAATTGCCTTCAGTCCTCTCTACAAAGTGAAATTTTGCCTCAAGACTTGTGAATACTGTAATGGAGAAATATGACATGATAATAATGTTCTCTCAAAACTGCCTTTAACACTCTGCAGATTGGGATAATGGCCGTAAAGGTTCAGGGATTCTTGTCTTTCCTGCAAAAGTTTCAGACTCGCTTCTTACTTAATGTCTTTTCTCAAGTATTTTCATTTTCTGATGTTCACTTCAATATTCTTCAGACAAAAAGTATGGATATTGCATACAGTGCTAAAAAAAGTAGAAGAAACAGCCAAGAAACTGGGAGAAATAAGGGAACACAACTTCAGGAAAACATTCGAAGAAGTAACAGAAACAAGGGAAGATGATGAACCACCACTCAAAAAACACACGGTGCATAGTATACATGATGTCACGTAATACAAACTTCTTTTCAGGAGATCTTAGATAACACAATAATGCAAATAAAAAGTAGGTTTCAGTTAATGGGAAAACTTGACTACTTCTGGTTAGTGAACAGCAACATGTATGACAAATACAAAAAAGATTTTCCAGAAAAGTCTTTAAAAACCCTGGAGATGCAGTATGGAGCATCCATTTGAGGAATGAATTGTCGCTCTCTATTGTTCGATAGAGTTTAAATATAAACTTAACCAACTCAAAAGAGGCTTATGAGTAAAAGTGGCCTCCAAATGGGACTAAAGCAGGTGTATAAACTTGCTACATTGATTGCTACAATCCCTGCCACCAATGCTATAGCTGAAAGGACATTTTCTGCAATTCGGAAAATAAAAACATAT